AGTCGGTATCAGGAAAGTATTCCTAACACTAACTAAGAAACTGGACTAGAAGAATACAGGCCTATATAAGATTAAAAAAAAGTATTACCCTATATATATAAGTTAAAGCTATTTAGCTTAATATATATATAGCCTATAATTAATATATTAAACTTAATACTATTAATTAGTTATAAACTACTGCCTAGCCAGCAGTAGGAGCCGCCACCCCTAATTAAGATTAATAGAGAAGATAAATACCTGGTTAAATAGATTTTAGATATATAAATCTACTACTGTTAATTATAGTTCCTAATTAAATAGTATAGATATAATAATTTAGATAATAATACTTAGGAATTTAAAAATACTCTATTTAAAATAGTAGCTCTTACTAAATATAAAGTATAAAATATATCCTATATTAAATAATTATAATATAAGTTTGTTAGGAATACTTTCCTGATACCGACTAGCTTCACTAATGTAAGCCACTTCGGAAGGGTTTAGCTTCCTAGAGCAGAGGAACAATGTATAACAAGAGCTTATTGTGGAAGGAATACAATAAGATAGTTATGTTTATGACTTAGAATAGTCTGAGCTTCAAGAGTATGAGAATGTATTCAAACTAACTACTAGGTAAACTAGACAGTTGAATCACAAAGAGGTGTAATGCCAGTAGGGACAGGATGTTTATATAGACCTTTGTTCCAGTGTCCTTGTTGCCTGATTCTCAGCGATCATTCTGATCATGAATGATCAGACTGATCACTAACTGCATTCCTGATTCGTTCAATCCTTCTGAGCGAATCACAACCTTTCGCTTATGCAGACTGATCACCTCGATCATGAATGATCAACATGATCGCTCTCCCTTCACGTGATCACCATGTTACCTCGTAACAAAGTTTTAAGACTATAATAGTCTAACCTAAACTTAAATAACTAAGCCTAAATACCTAAACCTAAATAACTAAACCTAAGTACCTAAATCTAAATAATTAAGCCTGAATATCTAAATCTAAGTAACTGAACCTAAGTGCCTGAATTTAAATAATCAGGCCTAAGCACCTAAACCAGAGTATCTGATAATCTGGACCCAAACACCTGAGCTTAAACTCCCGGAACTCCCTCTCCAGGCCCCTCTCTAGAGGCTTTACTAGCTAGGAGGGGGGTACTATTATAAAATTACCTTTATAATATATAATTAATACTATCCTATTACTTATCTAATTAAAATAGTATTAATATTAATTAATATAATCTAATATAATCTAATATAATCTAATATAATCTAATATAATCTAATATTACCTAATATTAGTTAATTAAATTCCTAAACTAAACTAACTTTCTAATTTGATTTTACCGCGCGCGCACCTAAATCCTAATTAGGAAAGATATGATAAGGCCCCCTTTATATTTTTAATAAGAACTATTTTCAGGCCTTCCCTTCTTTATGCAATATCTTGATTATTATATAATACTTTAGTATAGCATAACTGAATAGATAGTTAATAGCCTCATCAGTTTACCTTATATGATAACTTAAGTAGATCACTTCTAGTGGTTCCGTGACACGTGTTATGTGAGGAACGGAGTAGGAACATACGCACGGTACGGCTGCGCTCAGGCCGCGGGTCACGTGCTCCAGGGGGAAGCAGTATTTAAGCTACGCACAGTGTCCACCTTAGTTTTACTCCTCAGTCGTCAGTTTTGATACCAATCCATACTCATTGCTCCCCATCCTGATATCACGCTTACATTCACCCCTTACATGTTACCTCGTAATACCCCTGAAGTGGTGGTCAGCCTAAAACCTTTATACTATCTTATTATATTTCCTTTTATAATAAATTAGTTATATATTATTCCTTTACTTTAGGAAGCTCATCCCTTCCGAAGTGGTTCATATTAGTAAAGCTAGTCGGTACTGGGAAGGTATTCCTAACATATATGCCCTTAAGGACCGCGTTATTTTGATGTCCGTTTTAGTGTCGTGGCCCGTGCGCAGTCAATTTCTTCCTATATGGTGCTTGAGTCTGCATCGGAGGGCATCAAGAAAAGACATAGAGATTGTCTCCTTCGATCGAGGTCAGCCCCTGAAAATTGAAACAATATTCCCTGTAGATCCCAATTCTGTTTATACAGTAGAGCGTGCCCGCTTTCATTCACTTCAAAAACACTGACGCTTGTTTGCACTACTAATGACTTCATATGTTCTAAGGTATGAGCTGCACCATTTCTTCCGACCGTGGAGGGCTATAGCTGCTAGCCATAGACCAAGCATTGCCATAATGCTGGCTTAGGGAAACTCATCGAGAAATACATTCACTTTTCCAACTTGCAGCTGCTTGACCTGCTGTAGGGATGTGAAATACATCCAATTTATCCTTGGCCCTTTCATTATAACCGTCGTTCTAACAACAATCAGGAAATAACACATCGAAACACTCCTTAGAAAAGGTCTTATGCTTATTACCGGTCAATCCAACACGAACTCTTATCCACCAGAAAATACTAACATGGACGATCAAATCCGGACAGCACTGGAGCTAGTCTCCGAAATTATCCAGTCTGCGCTCTTCTTCATTTTTGTGTACGGCGTAAAAGCCATCAAATTCATCGCCAACGTTGCAGATAAAGCAAAGGCGGATGAAAACTGGCTCACCAGACTCGCAATAACTTGTTTCATTATACTCATCTCTCTCCAGGCCATACGGATGGCATATCGAGGGGTTATGTTTTGGATCAGGTTCTTCTTCAAATTTGCAGTCTCCTTGGGATCGATCGCAGTCATGGTCTGGTTGTGGAGTCGCGGTTTCGATGGTGCTTGGGAGGACTTGCTCATCCTCGCTGACTTCTGGACGGAGCAGTATCAACAGATGCAGAATCAAGCAAAAGCAAACAGGGCGTTATATGAGCTATTGCAGAGCACTAGAGACGCTTTTGTCAGTGAACGCCAACGCATGGAGCGCATGCAAGTGGGGCGTCCGTAGTGAACAGAGGTGATGCAAAGCTCCCAAGTTACATGGAGTCGTCATCTCTTTGGGAACTGGTCGATGTCTCCGTCAAAACAGAACCTGAACATTCTGTGATGATGATTTGGTTGCTTGCATTTGGCCGGGCATTGGACTTGGCAAGATTATTCATCCCGACTACTTTACTAATGCAAGGGAGCGATGATATTGACTATTTGTACGATATCGTCAACGCCGACATTTGGAGAGCAAGTTTAAAACTAAGCTACCAGCGCCCGACGAAAGTATCGGGAAGCCTCAATATTGGGGTTTTAAGGAGGCAGCGAGACAAAGCACTTGTAATATTTCTTTCGTTTGGTTTCGAACTGGAGTTGCTGTGTTTCTGGCAGCAGCAGTTAGTGCTTGAAGTTAGATCTGGACAATCCACGACTTATAGAAGCAAACTGAATTGTATTCCTCCATTTTTGAACCCTTATTCAAACAAAATACCCGTAATTGCGTGTCTGTTTGGCTCACGAGAAGATTTTCCTTCGTCTCATGTGTTAGGTTTGCAGTACAGGAATTTTGAGCAACAACTCGTCGTGGCTACTTGTCGCACGCCACTAACTTCGGTCCTGTCGACGTCCTGCGGCACTTTTTTTCCTCCGCGCGACCACAACATGGCATCCACGTCACCGGCAACAAAAGGCAAACGAGCCGCAGAAAAAGCAAGGGCGAGGAGAGAAAACTCTGAAAATGCATCAATTCCGCAGAAGAGACATTACCGGCAGCGTGCCCATGCCAACCCCTTCTCCGACCATCGCTTGACCTAGTATGTACGCTACACTTCCATGCACGTGCGCATTCTTATAACTTGTCTTAGTCCGGACTGCCCGGATGCTATGGACTGGTCGGAGTATTATCCGGCATATGCAGGTCAAAGCAAGAGCGTTGAGTTCGCCGACATTGGTTGTGGGTTCGGAGGTTTACTCTTCGCACTTTCACCACGTTTTCCGGAGTCCCTCATTCTTGGTGAGCAATCGGCATGTCACATCATCTGTTACTTACGCTCACGAGGTAAAAGGGATGGAGATAAGAACTGCGGTGACCGAGTTCGTGCAAGAAAAGATCAAAGCACTGAGACACCAGGACCCGAGCACGTACCAGAACGTAGCATGCCTTCGGGCCAACACGATGAAGTTTATGCCAAACTTCTTCCGTAAAGGCCAGCTGACAAAGATATTTTTGTGCTTTCCGGACCCGCACTTCAAGGCACGCAAACACAAGGCCCGGATCGTCTCAGCAACGCTCGCGGCAGAGTATGCGTACGTGATGAGAGCGGGTGGCATTATCTACACGATCACTGACGTCAAGGACCTGCACGAGTGGATGGCTAAGCACTTAAATGATTGTGCGCTATTTGAGAGGCTAAGCGAGGAAGAGATCGAAAAGGACGAATGCGTAGCTATCATGCGCTCAGAGACTGAAGAGGGAAAAAAGGTCGAGAGGAACAAGGGCTTGAAACTAGTTGCCTGTTTCCGTCGGCTAGAAGATCCTCCTTGGCCATAATAATCTTTTGGGGTACGAACGCTCACCACGACGCTATGCCTTGGGTATCACAATGTACAGGATAACGAAAATCATTCAAAGCCAAAATCAGCTCAATCCTCAAATCCACCCCAATCTTCACCCTCACCAAGGCACGCGTCCTCCTTCTGTTCTCCCTGCGGCTTGTCTTCATCTTTCTTCACCTCGCCCGCGTGCTTCTCGCCCTGGCCTAGCCACGTTCGCACTCTCTCGTCATCAAGCTGTTCCTTTGCTCGTTCCCTTACGGTCCGTGTAGGACTTTCCTTCTGTATAAGGACCACAGGTGCAAGTAATCGGTTGAAAGGAGTTTTCGCGTCATATTCGTTATCTACTTTTTCCACTTCGTCAAGGTAGACATCGAGTACGTGATATCGCATTCCGTTTGGTATCCTTGCTTCTCTTGCATTCAGCGGCGTGTCCGTCAAGATTTTCATAAATCGATCGATCATGTCGCTGTCCTTCCAACCGGCCTTTGCCAGGTAACGGATCGAGACGTATAGGTACTGCCTGACAAGGTACAGATATTTGTCCATCCTGTTTCTTTCGTCAGCGGGCTAAAAACCTTTCTAAAAACCGATAGAAAAATATGGTAGGATACCTCAACGAGCTGATACCATTCCACTCTCGTGCCATTGTCTTCCAAAAGGCGTCCAAGAAAGGGACAACGGTTTCACGCGGAACAACATCCACCAAGTCTGCCAGATCGCGAGCAAGCTGTTGCTGATTCCGTGGCTTGTCGCTCATCCACATGCAATAGAAGAGTCCCTTCCATAGCTTCAGCAGCTCAATCTCAGAAAACTCTTTCCTTGACCGCAGGTAGATTCTGAGGCTGTCCACGGCTCGGTCTCGCACAGATTTTTCTAGCACGATTAGTCAGTCCTGCCTTTTTCCAAAGAGGGTTGATGGCATGAAAGCCATACCATTTGCTGCCAACTGCTTCATGAAACTTGGAGCGGGTGATGCGGCTGCCATTGTTCTCTAATAGGCCAAAGAGCAGAACTTGACCTGATTATGTTCGCGCTGCACAAAACTTTTTAGGGATTCTTATCGATAAACCAGCACGAACCTCGAAGCGGGTCGCCTACAAGAGTATCACAGCTGGAATGCGGCCTAGTGAGCAGGTGGCCTAGTGAGAGCCAGGTTATCACAGTTGTCATGCATAGTGGTTTCTCTTGAATGTCTCCTTAGATTATATATGCTTTGATAAAATTTCTCTTAAAAATATTCTTTTATATTATCATATCTGAAAGCTGTCAAAGCTCATGAAGTGCCAAGACTGTGCGTAGTTAGCCAAATTTAGCTAGTCAATTGAAAGTAATTTTTATAACAAATCATGCTTGTAATATCGAAAAGATTAAAACTAGTCACACCTTCTTAGAAGGTCCGCTTTCTTTTGAAAATAAAAGAAAGCAAAGTGACTTTCATTAGGGTTCATAGCCTGAAAATATGCTTATGGTGGCAGAAGAATCAATCGCTGACATCAGGTTTCAACATGCGAACTGGCGATGCATGCATTAATCCGGAAGACGTAGGTTTTCACCATCTTTTGTTTGGGGTTGAATGTTCATTCGGAATATAGGTTCAATCAATCATTGCGCATCGAATCCAAGGAAAGGTAGTTTTAATGCCTCAAGAGGACTGATTTCATTCAGTTTAAACCCCCGTATTAATCACGACGCAGACGGAAGAGTACCTGGTACGATGGAAGTGGGAGGGTGATCCAAGGCTCGCACCATGTTCCTGGCATCCGATACACGAACTTTCAGGGTCCGACGGACTGGATAACAGCTCTTGTCGCTCCTGTCTAGCGCACGTGCAGCTGTACCTCGAGAGCCTTCGAGCGGACGTCTTGGCTAGGCAGGTCTTTATCCATCATTTGAATGCAGTCCCCAGACGAATGCGCCTAACAGGACCAGGGATCAGCGATCAAAGAGAAAGGCGCAAAACTGCCAACACACACAGCGCTTGTCGCCCTTTGAACACAGCCGCACGTTAGCAACCGGCGGGGAGCTAGACGGGTCGTCTGACGCAAGGGACAACCACGACACGTACAATTGTGAGATCTATGTCGCGGACGGTGTTATAAAAATGGAACCAGTACGTGGGAAATGCTTTTCGCGGTTGTCCATCGGCAAAAGAGCCACAGCTCTGCCGTGAAAGAAGAGATTCTCCCCCCTTGAATTCTTTCTTTGATATTGCCGTTTTAGGACTAGTTGCTCACATGTACGGCAGATGACGAGGCTGAGGGTCGACACGTCCGACTTTCCGACGGCGTCGATGCGGCAACGTTCCATGGGCTCGAGATATAATGTGGCCGCTAGCAAGATACGATCTCAGTTTACGCGCAGCCTGCAGTCTCTCCCAGGCAAGGCCATCAGGCTTGTTAATACGCGCGACGCCTCGACCCCTCCGCTGTCCTTCACATTCATTGACGGATATCTCTACCGCGAGGGCGTTGAGCCACCGGATCCGAGCATGATGCAAGGATGTGGTCTCGTACCTTCACGGTTCGGCCCGACATGCAAGCCCAACATGGGCGCTAATTGCGGATGCGAGTACACACGCTCGTGCGAATGCCTCGAGTACGCCAGGATCAATGACGCCAGGTTGGACGTGCATGAGAGACAGATGCTGCGGGACTACGAGGATGGCGCAATGATCTCGCTGATGGGGCTGCCCAAGCGCTTTCCGTACTCGGCCAAGTCGGGTTTGCTCGTCTCGAGTTACCTGGGCCATCGGTGGCCGATCTACGAGTGCAACGACAATTGCGCTTGTGGGCCTGGATGCAAGAGCCGCGTTGTACAGAAGGGCAGGACGGTTGGCCTCGAGATCTTCAAGACCAAACACAGAGGATGGGGTCTGTAGCTTCTTTTCCCCCACCCAAAAAAAAAAAACCTTTTCTCTTCGCTCACTTCGTCTCCCTTCTTCACTCTCACGGCTTGGGCTACAAGATAAACACATGCTGACCGCCTAGCACAGGATTGCGAGCCACCGAAAATCTCAGACAAGGCCAATTTATTGACACGTACCGCGGCGAGGTGATCACACGGGACGAAGCCGACCGACGGGCGGTGCGAGGTGGCAAGTCCAAGGATTCGTACCTGTTCTCGCTCGACAAGTTCATGCGCGAAGGCGACCACCGGTATGAGATTGACGGCGAGTTCTACGGAGGCCCCACGCGCTTCATCAACCACTCGTGTGAGCCCAACTGCGTGGTGTACGTGGTCAGCAGGGACAAGAACAATACGTTTCTGTACGAAATCGCCTTCTTCGCTCTGAGGGATATTGCGGCGGGGGAGGAGCTGACGTTTGACTACCGAGACGACGACGGCACGACGGATGAGGCTGGCAGCGCTAACGAGACAGGCGAGGGGTCTGAGAGCGGAGCCGAAGAAGACAGCATACCGTGTTTGTGCGGTGCGAAAAATTGCAGAAAGTGGCTGTGGAAGTGAGGAGTGACTTGTGAGTTTTCTTGACCCGAGGGCGACAGCCGGGCTGGGGCATACATGCAAAGTCAGGAACTCAAGGGCTGGCCATCGATCCGGAAGCTAGACAGCAATCATATCTAATGCACAGCTCGACAGTGCCATGCCGGCGGTGATGGGAAGCTGGAGACGCCGTCACGTGAGACGTGTCGCACGACTCCCTTAACTTTTTTAGTCATCGTTGCGGACGAGAAGGCGACGAGGCTGAACTTAAAAGGTTAACGCACGTGTGCGTCCAGTTGCACCGTGGCGTCCATCGCGATTGCGGATGGACTGGGCTTGGAAAAAACGGTGATGAGCTGCGCTTCGTGTCGATCTCCAGAGCAACGGGCAAAGGCTTAGGCTGTCTTATGGATGCACGAGCAAAGGCTCGGTCGACAGGGAGACGTGTGATCGTCAACGAAGAAGACACGAGCAAGTACGAGTAACTTTTTGGCAAGGAGAACAATGGGACGCGGCATGGTACAGACCATTTTACCTTACCATCCTTTGCCTTTCCCATTCTTTACTTTTTTTTTTTTCGTTTTGATCTTAAAAAGCTGTCCTGCATTCTGTTTTATGACGTAAAATGACTGAAGCCAGTCTCGCGACTTCGCTTAGGCCATGCATACTTATTTTGACGGCGGCCAGCAAGAGTCCCAATTTTTTTTTGGCACGAAAAACGACGGCTCCGACGCGCCGGATTTTTTTTGGGTGACCGGTACGTCCTGTGGGACTGGCGCTGATAGGGCACCTCCGTGTTCTGCTACGCGGCAGCCACCGGACAACCAGCCAGATGTGAACAAGAAGGTGAGAGAGCGGCGCGAGAAAGAAGAAGCACAAAAGCCAGGCTAGAGAGATGGAGAAAGTCAGAGCGTGCAAGGCGTGTGCAAGATGCAGACGGGTGGGAGAGGTCGCAGGGGAGGGTTTTCATGTTTGCTTCTGGGGCTTGACGGCAAAGAAAGATGGAGCAGGGATAACTTAGGGAGGAGGGTGGTGCGGCTGTGTGTGTGTGTTGTAGATGCACGTGCAGCGCACCGGTGTGAAAAGGGCGATGGATCAGCAGCCTTGGACGGGCGACACACAAGAGAGCGCGCACGAGAAACCAAGTCGATGGAGAGCGCGGTAGCTCAGCAGCAGCAGCGGCAATCGGAGGGTGGATGGTGTGTCCGTCGTGCGGGCACACGAGCTTGACGGCCGCAACGCATCGACAGAGTGCACGGCGGAACAGAGGGGAGGGAGGGAGAGCGGGCCAACGTGCAGCGCAGCACAGGACGGATTCTCTGTCGTTGCCCGAACTCTGACGAGGGCGCCGAGGCAAATGCTGCGAGGGTTAGCATCCGGATGATCGGCTTCGTTTCTGCGATGGTTTCCATTGTTCATGCTTGATGTTCGGCCTTTGTTTGAAGGGCGGTTGTCCGTCACAAGCACGGCGACGATGAGGGAGGGTGCCGGCAGGACTCTTGGACAGGAGCAAAGGCAAATGCAAAACATAAGGAGCGCTCACACACAGGATGAAGCAGAGGACGGAGCTGGACGTGCGGACGCAAAACGTGCACACAAAACACGCGCTACACGGATGCTGCGGTCCACGGCGACACGAGGGGGGATACACAGGTCGCGCGCAGACGCGAATGTGCGCCGATCAAATCTCCGCCGTTGAACCGAGCAGAAGCCGGCGCGTCGATGGGATTTTTTGATCGCCGGCTTGGCATGAGGCACGTCGTGGGTGCGCCTGTTGCGCTGCGACGCCCTGTGCAGAGCAAACGGGGCCGCGAGAAGGCGAGGACTGACGGGCCAGCCGAAGAGAGCGACAAGTGTCAACAGGAGAGAAAAGCCGAGCAATAGAGCAGACGGATAGATGCGTGGGCCGGGAAGAAGAAGCAGGGCGCTGGAGAGAGCGAGAGAGAGAGCGAGAGGGAGAGAAGGTAGATGCGTGTGTATACCTGGTACGTATGTGAAGACGCGTTTCTTCTCCGTACATTTCCTGCCTGCTGGTCTTCCTTCCTTGCCGCCCTATATGGCGCAAGCTCTGGCCCATGGAGCGCAATGTAGACTTGCATCTGCCCCGTCCCCGATCTCCTTTTCGATCCTTCTGGTGTGCAAGGCCTGCTTGACTCTGTCGCCTGCTGCCGTGGTCTCCGATTCCAACCTTGCACACGCCTGTTTCGAGCAATGTGCTGTGGCTCGTTTGCCTGACAGTGACCTGATCTGACCTGACTGGACCGAACTTAACCTTACCCGCCGTCCGTCTTCCTTGGTTTTTCTTTTTCGCGTTCCCCACTCTTGCCGAGCACGCGCGATCTTTTTTTTTTTTTTTTTGGTTTTGGTTTTTGAAGGGTGCGGGCTTTGTGTTCGACGCACAGGGTGTCAGAAGGAAATTTGGAGAGGGCATGCGCTCCATTACAGAGTGCTAGTGCATCTCGTTCGCAGGCCTGCCTTTCCACTCTCTGTGCCGCGGACAAACTGGTGTTGGTTGGGCATGAGTTCTGTTCTCTTGGTGCGCACTAGCGTTTGTCCTGCGTAGCAGACAAAGACAGTGGCCTTGCCAAACATGCCCACCACACCCTCTGTCCGTTGCTCGAAGGAGGCAGCGTCCTCCACGCGCCCGGCTCTCCCCAAACGGTCACTGCCCGTCAAGGATCCAAGAGTCATGATGTGCTTTCGTCCCAGCTCTAGTTTTGCGCAGGAAAGTGTGCGGCTTGGCATTCGAGTGTGAGAAATGCGTGCACGTGCACGTGCACGGCGACTGAGACGCAGGTTGAAAGGACGGAGCAAGAGAGGGCGAGGGCGAGAGCGAGAGCGAGCGTGCATGGGTGAACATGTAGAGAGGCAGACAGATACGGTCTCCGTTCGGACATATATCTATCTATATATACATATACACATATATGTGAATATACATATACGTGAGCATTGGCATAGAACCAGACAGACACAGCAAGGAGCGGGCAATGTCGGCTGCGAGCGAGTGCACGGCGGAGGGCACAAAGGCCAAAAGGTGAAAAGCGCCAGACGCCCCCCCCCCCCCAAAGGTCGCCAAATTTACCGACCGCACCACCGAGACGTGGGCTGCTTGAGTGACTGGCAGTACGGCCCACCACCCACTGTCCTCGGCCCTGTGCCCTGTGCCCGTCGCCCACCGCCCGCTGCCCGTACCGACTGCCGACTGCCCACTGCCCACTGCCCACTGCCCACTGCCCATTGCCCACTGCCCGCTGCCCGCTGTCCTCCGCCCAGTGCCCACGACTCCGTCCTGCTACCTGCCCACTGCTGCCGCCTCTACCATCCGTACCTTCACATCCCTTCACCACTCCACCCTCAATTTCCTCCTCCCTTCATCCTCCATATTCTTGCCTCCTTTCCATTCATTTCTGCCCCGTCTCCAGAAGCACCCGCAAGGTGAGTGATTTCTCGCTCTTGTTCTGACCCTCCCTTTGGTTTCTTGTGTTCTGTCCGGTTTTCGCCCCGGTGCGCACACACAGCTCCCGTTCCAACCACAATTACGCCTGCCTTGATGCGTCACGGAAACCGCTGCCGGCGAAAAAAAAAAACCACCTCGACCTGCTTCCTGCTATCATCTCTCCACAACTACACAACACCCGCCCTTCAACCCCCCCCCCTCCAACCACCGGTAGCATCTCCTTCCGTCTACTTCATCTGCTTCCCCTTCTCCTCCTTCTTTCCCACCTTCGCCGCTTCCCTCCTCGTCTTCTCCACGCCTCTCCGCCGCTGTTCGTGCTGCTCCACGCCGTGTGCCAGCTTCTCCATGCCCATCGTCTTTCTCTGCCCAACCCCATCCACCGCTCAACTATCCTTCTCCGGTTCAGAACTGTGGCTTTAAGCTGATTAGTACAGAAGGGCATTTCATCACGAAATCCTTTCCCCTCCCCTCACCGTCATCTTTAACCACAGTCGGGCGGCACCACGCCTCAACCGGCATCGTATCTTCGTCATTCCCCCGACGCAGCAAGAGACGTGCGGCAAACTTCGTCGCCAATTCTTTCATTGCACATTGTGCACGCACGTGCACTTGCGAGCTTTCCATTCATCGTTGCCGATCGGCTCCTCGCCTGTCTCAGTAGAGAGCTTGGGTCTCCGCACGGCAAGCCACTGTCGCGTGGCGACGGCAAGAGGTGGTGCGGAGAGGGCGTACACAACACCTCTCCGGACGCACGCGCTCCACTCTGTGTGCTGAGCGCTTCCACTCTTGCTTCGGGAAGCCGGACGGCTTGTCCCCGATTCTAGTGTCCTTCCGCCGGACCAAGCGTGCCTCGGGAGTGCTCAAAAACTCTGCCTCGCCTATCACTAGGCTTGCACAACATTCGCAACCATGTCCTCGTCGCACGTGGAGGCTATCAAGCCTGCATCGTACGCACAAGCCGCGCGTGGAGCCTCGCATTCGACCTCCGCCCAGCCCAGCAAGGCTTCGTCGGGTGCCGTGACGCCGGCCAGAGACCAGACCGGTGCCCCGACGCTCAAGCCTGAGCTTCACGGCGCTCGATGGGCCGATGCCGACGACGACGATACCCGAACCTCGCACAGCACAGCGTCGACGGCGGTGGAGAATCAGCCGGCATCAAACAACAAGTCTCACGCTGCAACACCCGCCGCTCAGACGAACGGAGTTGCTAGCCCTGCTTCGGTCGATTTTGGTGGCTCGTCGACGTCGACCTTGGCGAGAGATGACGGTGCATCGCCCGTGTCAGAACTCCCGGAATCCGCCTGGGACGCAAAGCTCAAGACGGCCGTCGACGCCAGGTCCGACGCTGGCAGGCATCGAAGCTCGACGGATCGGTCGTCCTCAAAGAGTCGGAAAAAGACCGCCAAACGCGGGGACAAGAAAGAGAAGGTCGACGTAGTCGATGAAAAGGCGTCGAAGCCCGCGTGGTCGGCTCCGATCAAACTGGTTGACGCACCAGCACCGACAGTGAACCCTTGGCTGGCGCGAGCACAGCAGGCTAAACCCGCCGTCGCCCCCATACCGAAGCCTGTAGCCCTGACAAATCCCACTCCGTCTGCTACAAGTGCGGCCAAATCGAGCGGCGTCGATGCTACAAAGTCTGCCTCTCCGGCGGCTTTGACCTCCCTCGCGCAGACGTCTGCTCAGTCGAAGGACAGCACGGCAGTGGGAAAACCTCCCGCGTTGACTGAAGATGCGGAGTCAAAGACAAAGAGCACGCAGCAGACTGAACGACACGTCGAGAGGAGCGAGCAGGCTTCGAAAGTTGCCCACACTGTCGTCGACGACAAGGCGTGGCCAACGCCGGACACATCGAAGCAGGAAGAACCAAAGGGCAAGCATTCGCAAGAGAGGTCCGAGACAGACACCCACACGACCCATGAGTCCAGAGGGAAGCAAGCCTGGAACAAGCTGGAATTCACGCCGACGGTGGTGTTCCAAACCGCACTGCCAGGCTCCGCACGTCGGGGCGGGAAAGGCGGAGGTCGCGGTGGCCATGACGGAAGGACGCGGACGCCCGCTTCCAGCCAGAACGACCGAGGCAACGAGGCCAAGTCCGGGACGCAGGCTGGAGAGCCAACACGCCGTGAACGTTCAGAAGCTACCCGCAGCTCCTCGCCAGGCCGGGCCAAGCGCGCATCTAATGATGACGCCCCGGGGAGGCGGCAGTCTCGCCAGGAAAGCGTGACGCGTGACCATCCTGCCAAGCAGCAGTCGGACGAGCCGAAGTTCAAGCCAAGGGACCACGTGGAGTCGGCATCGAACGTGCAGCGGACGAAGCCTGTGCGCAAGGAGGCCGTCGTCAACGGAGACAAGAAGAGTGCTGAGGACAACGTTTCCAAGGACAATGCTACCACGTCCAACGGCAACACGGCGGCCACCGCAGCCTCCGTCAATGCCGCAAAGGACAACAAGGCCACGGCCACTGACGCGACCCCAGCTCAGGCCACGACGTCATCCACCCAAGCTGAGAACCAAAAGAAGGACGTCAGCCCCGCCACCAGCGAGAGAAAGAACAGCGTGGTGGCCGACTTCGCTTCCCGTCACCATGAGAGAAAAGGTAGTGGGACTTACTCGACTTTTTCGGGCCGTGGTCGTGGTGAACGCGGACGCGGAGGTGGCCATCGTGGCGGTCGTGGTAACGGTCATACCTTCCACCCTAATGCGCACTCCTTTGTGAACGGCCAAGGCGCCTTCAACATGCAAGGCTACAATGCCATCCCGAAGTCCCCTACCGGATTTGGCCACGATCCCTTCTTCGGTCAAGCACCGCAAAACGTGCAGAGATATGGTAGAAACTACACGGGTCGAGCGTCGTCCATTCCGGACGCCTCTTACGGACGGGCGCTCAACGGCTTCCCTGTTCAGTCGCTTCAGCTCAACACTGGCGTGCAAGCCAATGGCATGTTTCCCTCTGACTTCTACATGCCCGCAACCGCTGTGCCATACCAGAGCGACCCCACCTCAGACCTGCTTGCTGCCGTCACGCGGCAGATGGAATACTACTTCTCCATTGACAATCTTTTGAAGGACACCTATCTCAGAAAGCACATGGACTCCCAGGGCTTTGTGCTCCTCACGTTCATCGCGGACTTCAAGCGATTGAAGATGATGACGCAGGATCTGGAGCTCATCAAGTACGTCTGCCAACAATCACCCAACATTGAGCATCGTGTCGGCTCCGATGGGACCGACAGGCTACGTGCCGCCAAAGGTTGGGAGCGATGGGTGTTGGAAAAGGAAGAGCGAGATCCTTCAGCACAGCACGACGGACCGGAGTCTCACCATCCTCCACCACGTCCAAACGTCCAGCTGCCAGAACACGTGCACTTTGCTCGCCATTCACCACTGCCAATTCCGCAATCTGCGGGACCCGTACTCGGCGCCCAGCCGTTTCAATCTCTCAACAGCTTTGCCGCACCGTACAACGCTTACGGTCCAAGTACAAGCTCGGATGCACAGCCCTCCATCAGCCAGTTCCAGGCTTCAGCCACTGCCATGGCACCCGGCGCCGTAAGCGTGCCGCAGGCGTCCGCTGGGCCGTTTGGCAGCCCCTCAGCTCAGCCGCCGCTTTTTAGCAATGCTGTCGAAGAGACGGAGCCGGATTCGTTCACGGATAGCGAGGTTGAGGTGCTGCGAGTGGTTCTTCGCGATTTGCCGGGCGAGACGGCTGGCACCACAAGCAGCACATCTCAGCGAGCGCAGTCAAACGGGCTCGTGGAAGGCGTCAATGGCCAACGACATCCGTCTGGTCCAAACTCCTCAGCGACTCCAGATGAGTAGGTACTTCGCTCCTTAGGCGATGCTCTGGCATGTGTTAACTTTTTGCTATGGGCAGATCTGATAGGGCAACTTCGCCCACCACCTCGGAACGTTTTAACCGCTTTCTCACCAGCAGTGGCGGTAACAGTGTGGGTGGCAGGCTCGCGGGTTCCCGCAGCGGTTCACGGAACGGGGAGGCACAACCGGAGGGTTCGACGGGCGTCTATTACATCAAAGACAAAGACTCGCCCTCTTACAATCTGCCCGCCGACGTGACCTCTGAGCTGTATCTTGCGGCTCGCGATCGCGCCATCCAGCAGCGCAACTTTCATCCTTGTCCGCAAGACATGATGAACATGTATCAGTTCTGGGAGCACTTCTTAGTTCGCCACTTCAACGCACGCATGTACATGGAGTTCCGCAGCTTTGCCATGGAGGACGCCTCCACGCGTAACGAGTTTGCAGGTCTGAACAGTCTCTTGAGGTACTATGGAAAGGCGCTGGCATACGCTGATGTCCCTATTCGTCGCAGTGTGGCTCAGGACTACGTAAGTCTGGTGCGGAGTGAGCAACCTGGAAGCGACCGTCCAGCTTTTAAGCAATTGCGTGCCGCGTGGCGCGACGGCGCACTCAACATGAAAAACAGGAAGAGGATAAAGGATTTCCTGGACGAGGCGCTGGAGAAGGAACTGGACCGGTAATAACCTCGCTCTCTGGGGTTATTTGGTCTGGTTCACGACCCTCGCCTGCCGTGTCACTTTATCGGGCTTACCAGACGGAGAAGATTGCTACAGGCGCTTCTCGCGTGAATCAGATTGTTGGCTGACAACGACGACTTCGTCATGTTCATCTTCGTTGGCAATTTATTCAAACCCTCTCGGCCGCATCTCCAGCGTCTACAATTGGTTTGACAGGCCAGCTTGGGCACTTGCGAAAGGCAAATTTTTACTCCTGCCGTCCTGCCAGCCCGTAGATGTCTCGTATTCCTCGGCGCTATACACCTAGATTTATCCCTCACACAATGTTTGTGCAACCAAACTCGTTTACGGCCGCCAGTACATCCAGCTCTCCCCATTGCCTCTGCTCTCATGCTAGGATACAGGAGGTCCGTGGTCCAACATCCGGTCCAAAAAAAAAAGTTATTTGACTGCCACGTGTTTCTGCGTTTGCGTAATCAGTTGCGATTCCCACACAGTCTGAAACTCGTCGTGTGGCTGGGCACTATTTCGATTCTTGCATAGCGGTTGGGGAAGGGGGCCACCGTTCTCACACCATATTCGACATTTACATTTTGTCTGTCATTTCGAACGTGGTTCGTTCGGCTGAATTCACGTTCGGGTCTGCTCTCCTATTTTTCATGCACGCGCATATTTGCATTTGTAAAAACAAAAACACATTATTCACCACCCAGTCCGTTCTGATCAATAGCTAGTATTACTACAGCAACTACTACAGAGGGGATGAAAACCAAGCTGGAGGGTGATGGGACTTTGCTTTTTTGATTGCTTATGAGGAACATCTTACTCTTGCGCCGTATACACATGGAGGGGGCATGACGGGAACATTAATCATCGGCATGTGACGCGGCTCTTTTTCCGCCGCCAAAATTATTTTCTTGTTTTCGAGTGGTTCAGGAAACGTTTTTATTTTTTTAAAACCCAAAAAAAATCTTTGCGCTCATATTTCAAACATAGAAAGACTGACGGCTGCTGCGAGTTTTTTGTTCCGCGCTCGTGTAGACTGCGCACCCATCGTCATCAAAAGCTTGCGAGGTATGAGTTGAGGTGTGACGGTTCGCTACAAACGTTTCCTGGTTCCCTTCTTCTTGAACATGAGTCTATCATGATGATCTGACTGATGACATTTTGCGTGCTATCGTACATGAAGAACTTTTAAAAAAAACAAGCAATGTGAAATCTTCTCCCTTGTGTATCGTTGTATCATGTCAAGAGACGAATCGCTTCGACTTTCTTTTTCTTTTTCTTTTTTTTTTTTAAACCCCAAATCGCAATTCCCTCCATTTTTTTCCGGTCACTTGTATTTTTGCACACCGATTAGCTCTTCTGGATCGTCTCTCGCTGGGCAGGCTCCTTCACGCAGGGTGAGATGCCATTGCGGTAATTCCGTCATGAAAGAATAAAAAGTTCTGGTTTGGCTGCGCACAAAAAAAAAAAATTGCTGGCCCTCTCTCTTCCACAACACTCCCCAAACCTCCTTTCCCCACTTCCCCCTCCCCCTCCTCCCTCCTCCCTCCAAAAAAAAAAAATGAGCTGCTTGTCTGGAAGAGAGTGCTTTGTCTACAATCCCAGCGTTACTGGGGTCTTGCCTTGACCGGTCACTTGGGTCGGACGACATTGTCTCTTTTGCGTTCTCTCCGGACGTTTGGTTTTACGCCCGATTGTACGAGCGAAGCCGGGACCTGGACAGAGCGTACTGTGTAGACCATCATCGGTTTCGACTGCCGCCCCCCCCCCCCCCCCCGAGAGCGGCCGCTTCATGTCTGCAGGAGAAGAGCTGGCCGTGCAGGCTCAACACGAAATCCAGAAGGGTTGAAAGCTCGGATGAGCTGTGCTCGAGGACGGAGGTACAGTTCGCGCTGCGAGAACAGGGTGCGAAAATCCGTGGCGGTCTGTTCGATCGCTTCGCCCGCTTCCCAAGGCACAGCTGTACGAGACCTTTCGTTTAGGATATGGGGTAAGGATACAATCACGTTGTGAAGAAGGAGAAGGTTGGGGGGAGGGGGAGTGTGAGGCTTGGTAGAGGACCCCAGATACGTAGATGAGATCAAGAGAACCAGCTCGGGTACCCGATGAAGGGCCTGCCGTATGGTCACCGCTGTTCAGGAGCATGAGTGGCGAATTCTTTTCAATGGGCTTCTACTTATCTCCGATCAAGATGCAGGTGGTTGAAGTTGGCGAGAACGGCCAGGCGATCACGCTGGTACAGGTCCGGTCCAGACGGTGGTCAGCCAGCTTCCCGAACGTAACGATTTGCCCGCCTCCTCGGCCCACGGCCTCAAGTCCAGCCCTTCGACGAACGCGGTCAAGTCATCACCGGCGAATGCGGTGTCGAGACTTCGCAGCCACGCATCCGTCTGTTCTGCCGTCATCGTCGGCGGAGGTGGCAGGGCCGGGGCCTGTATCTGATTCTGTAGCGTCACAGATGCCTGGATGGCAGGTCCGGTGACCGCAGGTTTGGCTTGGTAAGGCGGTATCTGGTGCTTGCTGTATCCCGGAGACACGACGGATGCGGTCTGGCTGCTTCCATTGTACGATGGTCGGTACGGAGCGGTGGTTGTGGCTGGCGATGTCGTGGTCGAACTTTGAGCGCCGTGGTGGCTACCTTCCGACGTAGGCTGCGCATTGCCGGCTTGAATTGGACCAGAGCTTGCATTGATCGCGTTCCACTGATCGGTACGCACCGATGATTTCTCGACGTGCTTGTCTGACCCGAGCTGATGCTCGCTCTTCACGCCAACACTGGCAGCGTCAACCGAGCTGTCGGCTTTGCTCGCCTCCGGATCGTGTGCGTCGGTCATCTCGACGTCGTGATCGTCTGACGTTCCAAGCTCTCGCAGCGTAGCTTCAATCATCCTAAACTCTTCTAGGCCGCCACCAACTCCACCTTCCCGTATGCTCAGTGGCCCTGGCGCGGTGCTAGGGCCGCCTAAGACCCGAACGTTGCGTAGAAAGTCCTTTTTCACCCGAACATAGTATCTGTGCACGCGATTGATGGTTTTAAACCACCCGTCAGCCATTTTCAGCCTCCGCCGCATAAAAGCTATCACTGAGAGCGCATTGCGGGACGCAGTAGCTCCCGCGTCGTCCTCTCCAGGTGCGTCGGTCGCGTTCTTTTTGCACATGTATCCATTGACATCCATCCATGGGAAGTTGATTGCGTAGACGCCCACGAGAGCCGCGAAGTAGACGGAAAAGCCGATCATAGGCGTTTGCGGAAGAACGTTCCACTCGTGGCAGGTTTGGATCAGGTCGATCAGCGATCTTGCCGAGCTGAAAAGCTCCGCAGCACTATACTCCCAAAAGCCATGCGGCACGCGGTATTGCTCCGGCGGGAACATGGGTGGATCGAGAGGTCCCTCGGGTCGTGAGCATCGAAGAGGGATAAAAGGTATGTAATCGCGGTGCAAAATCATTCTTCCGAGCAAGAGGACAGAGTGCATCATTAGGAATGGCGTCGACGATTTCGACATGATGTGGGCGTGAATGTTGGCCGGGCTGAGGGTCATGTCTCGTGGCAGTCTGCCGATGAAGTTGCTCAGCTCGACGTTCAAAATATTCCATGTTGAAGCGCTGTCCCAAGGAGCGTGCCGCTCTCGCCGTCGACCGCCGCCACAGGCCCATAGTACAATCTTGCCGTAAAGTTCGACTGCCCGGACATGGCGACTGACCAGACCTTCCTCAGCGCCAGTTTCCCACCTGCCTAGACGTTCATCGTCCGCTCTATGCGTGTTACCATGAGCAGACGAAGCAAAGTTTCCATTCGGGCCTCGATGTGGCGACGACGTCTGGCCAGTGTGTGTTTCCTGCCTGTTGTCTATTTCCATTGCGGAATCAGACAAGAGGCCGGTTCGAACTCGCTCTTTGAACATGTACGACCGTTCGCTGCTCGGCAGTTGAATCCGCATGTCTTCCGCTTTCAGCATCTGCGGGCGGAATTTGCCGCAGCTAAGGTAGCGATCCATGATGAACAGCCCCCAGAAGACCCTCCGCTTTGTTTCTTCGTCCACAAAGGAGTGGCTCGAATCTGGGTTGACCACGGAGCCAACGTACGGAGTTTGGTGGGGCAGCACGGAGGAGCGCGATTGAGGCTCGTCGTCCAGATCCGGCTGGTACTGTAGGCCAAGGACCTGAGAGTAGCGGATTGCCACACCCAAAGCTACCCAAGCCTTGTGCCCGGCACAGGATCCCCAATCGTGGAGTGCGAGCATGGCCAACGCCAGGACTCTGTCGGCTTCTGGTATGCCTAGACCATCGCCCGAATTACCTACCAGCCTTGCTTTGCACGCAGCAGCGTAGTACTGACAAGCAATGAGAGGGTTGCTCGGTCGGGTCGCTGATGGGGGAGAATGATGCGCGGCTAGCTTGTCGTGAAAGCGCGCAGTCAGCGCAAGGAAGGCAAGCAGGACCAGAGGCGACGCGTTTGGAAACGCGCTGGTCGGCGACCTCTGAGCGCCAAATTCGTTGGACAAAGGAGCTCCGCCAGCTTGCCGTAAGGGTTGCAGGAACGTTGGCGGGTGTATGAATGGCAGATCCGTGGCGAAATGCAACGACCAAATGTCGAACTGGATTCCCGACAAATATCAGTGCTTTGTGAAGCGATGGATCCGTTCATTGCTACGTACCAATTCAATCCAGACCTGAGGGGTCAGTATGGAGGGGTCAAGCGCATCGACCAAGGCTCGCATACTCTCCCTCGTGGAGACGCTGTTTGGGGTTGACATTTTCTTGGGCCTCGGCTTTCTCGCCATCTGCGAGTACTGTTAAGAAATGAACATGTCAATTGTGATACCTCTTTTTTTGGTTTGTTTTTTTTTTTTTGGACAGAAAAGAAAGAAAGAAAAACCAAAAATTAGAAGTTTGGGAAGTAGGGTGCTGTCGAGAAGTAGATGATGAAATCGGACGCAGTGGTACTTACATCGCTCTGCTGCGGAACATTCTCTCCTGCTTGTCTCGACTCGATGGCATCACGACGAACGCTGCCGCCGGGGCCAGCACTGGGGACGGGATAGGTGCACTCCCGGCCTGTGGTTTCGCATGCTCGGCAAGTGGTGCCAACGCCATTGTTGACACATTTTACCTTTGAGCGGCGGCAGCGCGCGCAGGCGATGGACGATCTCATTCTCGGAGGCTGGCCCGACTTGCTCGGACCAGCCTCGGATTTCAAACCTTGGTTGGAGACGGCAGCCAGAAAGCGCGAGGCCGCGTCGTGGATGCTAGCCGACGAGAGCGAGGCGTGGTCGGGTGGGTTGGTGTCTCGCGAGGCAGGCGGTCCGTGGTTGACGGAGGTCTTGGACGGGTAGGGTGAAGTGGTGGAGGTGAGGACAGACGCGATGGGCACGGAAGACGATATTTTGACGGTTTTGCGGTGCTGATTGCGGGCGCGGCTGTGGGATCCAAGACTGGCGAGCCGACTGTACGGGCTTGCGCTGGACGGTTTGCGCTTCCGCGGCGCTGGATGGGGAACGTCTGGGGAGGACTGAGGGCAGATGCGCGACGATCGAGCGCAGAACACGGGAGGGGAGAAAAGGACGGGCGAAGTCTTGAGCTTTGGATGGCCGTGAGAAAGAATAATGCAGCGGTCCTAGGCCAGCGGTAATAATAGCAGCTTGGCTTGTCGACCGCAATCTCCGTCAGTACAGCGACGCGTGGATAGTGTGTGAGGCGCGCGGATAGGGCTGAGGAATCGGCTACCACACGGTCGACCTTCTTCTCTCATCCAAACGGGGGGTTAGAAGCGGGTCGTCTGGGGCCAAAACACCTTGCCTGGAGCGCGAGTATTGACGCGCGGGTTGCGTTAAAAAAGGTAAAGCAGTGCGCCGGACGGTCTTCTCCTGTGTCCGAGATTCCTTCCGGGAGCCAGGTTTGGAGGGGGGTTTTTCTCTCTCGCGGAGCCGGTTTCTGGGCGAGAGCTCTCACGCTATGGGGCAAACTAGAAGCTCGTGAAACAAGGTGATTCGGGTGGCTTGACTAGATATCTGGCGGTTCACGACTCCGAGGAGGCCGAGCTTGCTTCAGTGATCGGCGGCCAGATCCCGGATCCGGCCTTGGGAGCTAGACGCGGCTGGTCCGTGGGGAACAACAGCAGCAGACACAATGGGGAGCGAGCCGGCTGCAGGACGCAGACAGGCCAGGAGGGCGCCAGCGATGGACGGGGGGATGGATGGACGAAATGGATGGATGGACGGGCGGAAAGGCGAGGAGAGACGTGAAGGGACGGCGAAGCAAGACGGACGGCCCTGGAGCTGGCGAGAGTGGCGCGGTGGAAGGACGATGCAGTGACGAGCTGGATGGGCGGCAGAGGAAGCCAGCGAGGCGTCGAATAGACGGACGGCTGAGTCTTATCAGATTGAGCTGCTGCCCATTTTGCGCCTTGGACCTGGGCCGCACTCCACGTCCTGTTCGGCTCGTTGTGACCGATCAACTCGGCCCGTCCGCTCGTTGATGTAACGAGACACTGCTGGGCCAGCGAGACGCGAGAGCCTGCAACCCACAGAGGAGCAGAACGAGCAGGAAAAAGGACGACGCAAAGGAAAAGAGAATCAAACACAAGGCGGGCTCGGATCTGCCCGCTGGCTGCTCGCGCTTCACATCTCGCGCTCTCACGTCCTGCGCGCTCTCACTCTCTCCATTCTGCTCATCCTCCCTCATCCTCCTCCGCCGCCTCCTACACCACCGCCTCCTCCTCCTCCTCCTCTTCTTCTTCTGCGCGTCCTGCTTCGACGCTACACACGCGCGTGCACTCCAGCGACCCCCTCATCCCTGCTGGTGTGCGACTCTGCGCTCCCGCTGCCGTCCATCTCATCTCAGTAGTCCGCACGCGGCGTTGCATGTTGCTGCGTCGCACACCGGATTGCCAATCAGGCGCCGTTGGCGGGCCTTCCCTTTTTTTTTTTTTTTGCACGCCATGCTCGGTTGCATACATGCTGGCTGCGCAAGCCGAACAATTTTAGCCTCGTTTTGGGTGCAGCAGTCTTCGCTGGGATCGCTTCTCTCGGACGTACGACAGGTGTCGTCCTCACTCCCAAAACCCCCTCCCCGGACCCCCCCCCCCTCCTCCTCACCATCATCCTCGACAGGCGTGCCGGCCCGCAAATCACGACAGCTCGCTCAAGTCATGCTGCCCTTCTGTCGCATTGCGAAACAAGGCGTACGTTGCGCCTAGAGATCTGGATGGGCGCACGCCCTCTGGCCGCCGCGCGACGCCTCTGGCGACTGCATCCCGCAGTTTTGTCCCGAGCTTCTGGAAACAAGCGTCTGGTCTCGCTCGTCTTTTTCCCACCCTTCGACTGCAGGTACTTCTACCCGACGCCTGCAAAGGAACGGTACCGGATGCGGAGGCGCTCCTTGCAAATGCACGCCTCTCACGCTTATACGGCCTGATGTGGTTAGTCCGCTCCGATCCGAGAAATCGTATCATCAGATCCTCCTGGCCCTGCCGCGGAGCTTTTTGACGCGGGCCCGAGTCATGAACCCACACAAAAGTACGGTAATCCGCACATGGTCTGTACCCACGGGGTAAAAGCTGCGGTCTTCCACCGCGCTGTGCGGCGATGGGTTGACGGGCAGAGCCTTGCTTTGTCCCGAGCCTTACCTGTGTCTTGCCGAACAGTGCCATCTTCATCCAGCTGCTGGTCTGCTCGACCCCCGGCTGCCCAGAGGCCGATTTGCCGTACACGTAAGCAGACGGGTTTTGCGGGCCCCCAGTTCGCTCGTTCCCTCGCGCTCGCTTGTGACGTGCTGGACGGTGCGGTGCTCCGCTCGTACGTGCTATGCGTACAGCAAGACCGTGCTAGCCGCAGAACGGTGCGCAGCCGATTGCCGACGCTCTGCTGCTGGAAAGCATGCAAAGAACCTACCTGCTCCGTGCTGTTCAACCCTCTGCCCGCCGGTCTGCTCGTCCATGCCTGCGAATCGGCTTGCGCAGCCGCAGCAGCACGTATCTTGTTGCTCGACATGTGGACTGGCTCCTCAAGCTTCAGCCCGTCGCCAAAAACCGGTCAGCTTCAGGGCCGTGATTTGTCGATGCGCAAAGCCCATCGCGCGACACGCGCCAGTGACATGACTACTGCTGTACCTACGCAACGAAAATAGAAGAGAAAACCCACCGCTTCGGCATGAGCTCCATCTTGCCGCGTGCCCCGCGGCCGGACCAGCATGGACGCTCTCGTTCGCAGAGATTCGCATCATTTCGTGCCGCACCACCACTCCGTCTACGACGACGGAGTATGGAGTACTTTCAGCTGCCTTCCCCCACAGCTTGTGCGGAAGCCCCTTGCTGATATTTCTTCGTCTTCTTCGTCTTTTTTTCTTTCTTTTCTTTTTTTTATTTTTTTTAAAAAAAAATAAGAGGAGGGAGGGAGCCTGCCAAACTCCACTTTTCCAGAACCAAAGCTCCATGTGGTTCAGTTTGCTGTTTGAGAAAATGCCAGAGTCTACAGAGAACAGGCGAAAAGCAGGACAGGCGTCGTTTCTTGTGCACGCTCTGTCCCACCTCGGGATCTCCCGTGCGAGAGAGGCCGGGTAAGACGGTGAATACGGCGCTCGCTGTACAACTGGTCGGTTGCCCTTCGCGTTTGACGTATCGTTTCACTGTCTCACTCGGGACCCGCCAAGTACCGATTTCCAATCTACGACAATGGCGCCCGTCGTGCGCGTGCGTCGTGCGTTCAGATGACGAAGTTGCAAGGATGAGTAGGATGGGGGAGAAGAAGATAAATAAATAAATTGAAAACGGACATGAAATGAAAAATGAATGGCTTTGTGCAAATCCGGATACGAAGCGGCAATAGTGGTGTGCCGGATCGGCTCGTCCTCGTCCTTGCTCTCGTCCTACAGGTACTGCTGCCGCCGCCGCCGCCGCCGCACGCACGCACGCACGCAAACCCAGTCACAAGCAAGCAAAAGGCCACTATTCTTATTCTTGGGGGGGGGGGGGGGGGGTCAGATGAGTTCGTTTCGATCCCGAGCCTGATGGATGATGCAATTCATCGCTTGTCCCGTGCATCGCCCTTAAACAAAAGCAGCAAAGAATCCCAGCAAAAAAGAAAGTACAGCCGTCCTTCCGCCGCCTCGGGCTCTTCTGATTCATTCGTGCGAGCCGAACCCGGTCACGCTCGACTCAGGCGCGAGACCAACACGTCTCCTTTTCTCGGGCGCGTGCTTCCTTGCTCGGCTCCGTATCTGCCAGAAGGCTACGTCTACATCCTGAGCTGCAAAACCCTGTCCCGTGTGTGGTGCAACGTCGTGAAAAGCTCGCCGTGGCCCCAGCCTGCAATTCCCGTCAGAGGTCGGCTCAAGAGTGCGTCCGGCTCGTGATCAAATCTCGTGCGGCCGAGGCCTTTGGCCCTCGCGTGTTGACGGCTTTTGCGTCGACGTACAAAGCCGTACATGCTACCTTCGGACGGCGGGGAGAGCAATGAGATGGCTGAGCGCAAGCTTGGACGCCGTTCAGCTCTGCGGCTCGACTTCGCTCTGCGCTGCGCACAGCCCGGTCACAAGATAAGGCGAGCGGGCTACGCTTTGAGGGACTCAAGAGATTCCTAAGCCGCGAAAGGAGGTGGGCTGCGAAAGGAACACGTGCACCGATGAAAAGGAAGCGTTGATCAGGAGTCGTGACGCTCTTGTTACTCGACGCTGATCTAGGGCCCAGAAACTTGACGGGGCAGCGTCTGGCGACTGGACGACGGGAAGGAAGATAGAGGGAACGACGACTCAGGCATGCGCCTGGCTGTGCAAGGATCAGATGGCTTCGAGTACGGGCGTGCGTAGCATGGAAAAGAGAGATACTTTGTGGTCAGCATGGACGAGGAGCCGGACAAAGGCGATCTGGGAGAGGCGGCACTTTTTGGCGAAGGTGCCGCGCCGTGCATGGCCGCGCGGCACCTGGGGCAGAATCAATGAGGGGGGAAGGAGGACGTGGGCGGAGGCGAGCATGCAAGTACGCTGATGCTGCCGCTCTGCATCGCATCGCATCGATCGAACCTTGTCGCCAGCGCCGTCGTCTTCAGTCGAGACACACGTGCGGCCAAGGCGCGACCGAGCTGAGGACACAGTCGAGGTGAGATCCACGTGCATGCAGCGGTAGCCTTGAGGCCGCCCGTGGCCAGTGTCGGACACAGCAACACCGCGCAACGTCCGAGGAGGTCGCTGAGCACGACCGCGCCCGTGGCTGTGGACGTGCGAGAGACGCCGTGGACGAGGCCTAAGTCGTCGCTGCTCTGTGGCTGGCTGGAAAGAGAAAATGCGCGACGGGAAGCCGAGCACGCGAGGGGAATGATGGCGACACCGACTGAGGGCACAGAGCGGTCCAAGGAGGGGCGGGGGCATCAGGCGTAGGCTGTTCCCCCCCCCTTTGGGCGTCAGGCGGCCCTCCCCCCCCAAAGATTGGGCCATGGCGCTGGCTGTGCTTGTTATTGATTCTTCATCAAGCAAAACCAAAAGAGAGAAAAAATTAAAAAAAATAATAAAATTAAAAAAAGAAAAAAGAAAACCCGCTCTGCTGGTGCCCCTCCATGGGTGGCCACCAAAACACCCAACTCCACCATCGCCACCACCATCGCCCACCACACTCCTCTTCGACGTGCTCCTCCGTCGACCGTCCCCGTATCCTTCTCGCCCTCCAAGCGGCTTCTGCTTGTCAGCTTCCAGTGCTTGCTCGCTCCTCCACCCTCACTCGGGTCCAGCTGCCCTCTCTGCGCCCTCCCAAGCAAATCATTGGTCGCAGCGGGCAGTGGACGGGCGGCGCAGCACCCACCTAAAAGTGGCAGTAGCCTTACATCACACTCTCGCACTGCACGTCCAACACGAACAACACCGTTCAAATCCCTCCCCTCTCCACCAACGTACCACTTGAGCGTCGCCCATCCCCGTATCCCACCTCCAGCGTCGCTGTGTTCCATCGCTTTCTTTTCCGTTCTGTCAAATTCTCCTTTTGCTCCAGTGGCCGCGCTGCCCGGCCTAAGCTTATCGTCGAGGTGAAGAACCCTACGCTCGGACGGCGGGACATTTCGACAACATAACCCAGACGCACCCAACAACACCACCACCTCCACCTCCACCTCCACCACCATTACCGCGCCCATCACCAACAGCAAACGACCACAGCAGCATCAGCAGAGCAACAACTGCGGCAATCATTTCGCCGTGGCGACTGCACGCTGCGCGCACACATTTTGCTCCTTCGAAACGACCAACGCCCGCACACGGTTTCTCGCCGTCTGGTGACGTGCCCACCGTTTTCTCTTAGTCGCCGCGTCCCGGCTTCCCATGTGATCTATTGTCCGCCATGACGGAGGACGACGTTGCTCGCGACATCCGTCGCAAGATCGACAAGGAGAAGGCGCTCATCAACGCCGCGAATGCGATGCGCCAGTCGACCAACAACCCCGCCGTCGTCTCGGGTTTGGACACCAAAATCCGCGACGGCCGCAAGAACATAGACTACCTGGAGGGCCGCCTGCGGGAGCTCGAGATGAAGAAGGTGAATCAAGGCATGGAGGGCATGCACGTGAACTCAACCAGCGCCTACGGCCAGCAGGCCGCCGAACGACCCTACCCGAACAGACCTGGCGAGTACGGGACGCAGGAGTACAGCCAGATCGGAGCCAACAATGGCATGATGCCGCCCTCGGCCCCCTTCGCGCGGCCCGGTCCTGGGAGCACGATGCCCAAGGGCCGCCCGAACTACAGCAGGCTGGGTAAGCACCGACGTCCCCGTCCTCCCCCACCAAAAAAAGAACGCGCCCGAGTGTGGACAGTCGAGTACTGACCGTTGAGCACGCAGATCTGATCAAGTGGGACACCCCGCACATGGGCCCGCGCATCCAGCTCATGCTCTCCCAGCTCGAATTCAAGTTGAGCGTCGAGAAACAGTACAAGGATGGCATCGAAAAGATGGTTCGTCTGTATCAGATGGAAGGGGATCGCAAGAGCAAGGCCGACGCGGAGGCGAGGCGTATTGAGAGCAACCAGAAAATTCAGCTGCTCAAGCAAGCCCTGAGGCGATACGAAGACTTGCACGTGGACATTGACGGGGGAGACGGTGGTGACGACGACAGCCTCAACATGCCGACGCAACGAAAACCCCTCACTGGCCACCTCTCGCTCCGGATCCAAGCCGTCGCCGACGTGGATCACGCCGCGACCGGCCGCTTCAGCAGAGGTCCGGACACGTTTGTCATCATCAAGGTTGAAGACGTGTTCAAGGGCCGGACCAAGGCGACGAAGAACGACCGCTTCACGGACGAGCTGCACGAGATCGAAATCGACAAGGCCAACGAGATCGAGCTCACCGTCTACGACCGAGCCGGCGATCACCCAATGCCCATTGGCATGCTGTGGATCCGCATCTCCGACCTGCAGGAGGAGATGCGTCGGAAACGTATCGAGAACGAGTTTAACAGCTCCGGCTGGATGACGGCAGACAAGATGGGCAGCGACGGCAGCATCCGCCCGGATCTGCATTTCCAGCCTCCGCCGGGACAGCAGTCGACGTACGGTGCCATGAGCGGAGGCCCTGGAGCCGTGGGGCAAGGAACGCAGCCTGGTGTACCTGGCGGCGCAGTTCCCCAGACGGGACCTGTCTTCATTGAGGGGTGGTTCGCCCTCGAACCGACCGGCCGCATCTATCTGACGATGAGCTTCAACAAGCAGAACCGCGAGAAGCGGCCGTTCGACGCCGGCCTTGCTCGCAAAGGTGCGGTGCGGCAGAAAAAGGAGGAGGTTCACGAGCAATACGGCCACAAGTTTGTGCAGCAGCAATTCTACAACATCATGCGCTGCGCTCTGTGCGGCGAATTCCTCAAGTACGCGGCGGGCATGCAATGCTCGGACTGCAAGTTTACGTGCCACAAGAAGTGCTACACGAAGGTGGTGACAAAATGTATCACGCAGTCCAACGCCGAAACGGATCCGGACGAGGCCAAGATCAACCACAGGATACCACATCGCTGGGAGGCCTTCTCCAACATGGGCGCCAATTGGTGCTGCCACTGCGGTTATATGCTGCCGCTGGGCCGGAAGCAGGCGCGAAAGTGCTCCGAATGCAACTTGACGTGCCATCAGCAATGCATGCATTTCGTGCCGGATTTTTGCGGCATTTCCATGGAGAAGGCCAACCTGATCCTGATGGAGATTCAGAACACGAAGAAGCGCCAGGGTAGCTCGCTGACGGGAATGAGCAACAGGACCCTGCGGCCGACGTCAGGCGGCACGACCGGCCGACCGACGCCGCCTCCGGGCCAGCAGAGCTATGGCAGCTCCTATTCTTCAGAGCCGGCCCAGGATCAACGCTATTCGTACGGTAAAGAAACTCAGCAGCCAGCATATGGAAGTACGCCGGGCGCATCCATGGATGCCGCCCGAAGTTCTTTTGGCCAAGGACCACCCTCTCCTACGTCCTCACGACCGGGTCCGGGCCCGAGAACGTCTTCATCGCATGCTGCAGCTGCGGCCACCGCAGCCCTGGCTGGCAAGACTTCCTCCTCTCCGCAAAAACCAGTGGGCCCTGGCGGATACTCACGCTCTTCTACAGACTACGGACAGCAGCAGTCGCGCCCGGCTGCTGGGTCAGGCTACGGACAGTATCCAGACAGGAGCTCGGGTTACGGCCAGCAGCACGAGCAGGCTCCCCCGCCACCAGCAAAAGCTGCACAGCCGTCGTACAACCCCGCCGACTACGCTGCCGTCAGCGGTTACGGCCACGCCGCCAACTACGCCGGTCAACAGCACCAGCCTTACGCTCACACTGCGCCGTATGGCGGACCGCAGGCTCCTCAGCCACCCATGCACTTGCCCGAACAACCCAAGCCGCAAGCATCGTCAGCCGGACCGGTGTCGCAACCGCCAGCGAAGGTCACACCCCCGGCAAACACGCAAGGCACCGGAAAGAGAATTGGTCTCGACCACTTCAATTTCCTCGCCGTCCTGGGCAAGGGTAACTTTGGTAAGGTCATGCTTGCCGAGACGAAAGCGACCAAGAAGCTTTATGCCATCAAGGTGCTCAAGAAGGAGTTCATCATCGAGAACGACGAGGTTGAGAGCACCAGGTCGGAGAAGCGCGTTTTCTTGATCGCCAACAAGGAACGCCACCCCTTCCTGCTCAACCTGCACGCATGTTTCCAGACCGAGACGAGAATCTACTTTGTCATGGAGTACATTAGCGGTGGAGACTTGATGCTGCACATTCAGAGAGGCCAGTTCGGCACCAAGCGAGCACAATTCTACGCGGCGGAGGTGTGCCTCGCACTGAAGTACTTTCACGAAAATGGCGTCATCTACCGCGACTTGAAGTTGGACAACATTCTGTTGACGCTCGACGGCCACATCAAGATCGCCGACTATGGTCTTTGCAAGGAGGACATGTGGTACGGTTCGACGACGAGCACGTTTTGCGGCACGCCTGAATTTATGGCGCCTGAGGTAAGTCCCTAGGCATGGCCGTTCCCGTTCTTGTCCGGGAATGTGGAAAGAACGGAAGAAGAGAAAAAAAAAAAAAAAACTGACGGATTTGCGCTTGGCCAGATATTACTTGACAAGAAGTACGGTCGTGCGGTCGACTGGTGGGCCTTTGGTGTGCTCATCTATCAGATGCTTCTACAACAGTCGCCTTTCCGAGGCGAGGATGAAGATGAAATTTACGACGCCATCCTTGCGGACGAGCCGCTGTATCCTATCCACATGCCACGCGACAGCGTCTCGATTCTGCAGAAGTTGCTCACGCGTGAGCCGGAGCTAAGGCTGGGCTCGGGGCCCACCGACGCGCAGGAGGTCATGTCGCAACCGTTTTTCAAGGGTATCAATTGGGATGATGTTTACCACAAGAGGATACCTGCACCGTTCCTGCCACAAATCTCGAGCGCCACAGACACGAGTAACTTCGACTCCGAGTTCACCAGCGTGACACCCGTCTTGACACCGGTTCAGAGTGGTATGTGTCGCCTTTCGTTGTCATCCGTGGAACGATTGGCTAACGTTGAGCAGTGCTTTCGCAACAAATGCAGGAAGAGTTCCGCGGGTTTTCGTACACGGCGGACTTTATATAAGCTTCTAACCCTAAAACTGCAAACGCATGTTGTGGTGCGTGAAGAAATGGCCTTTTCTTGGGCGGAGATGGACATTGTTCGAGCAGTCTTGATAAGAGAAAGCATCCCACGTTTGCCAAAATTTCTCCCAAACGCGAAACGAAGAGACGATCTTGAACGAGGATGAAGAAAAGAGAGATGGTAGCCTAGGAAAAATTCTGCTGGAAGGGGAGGCATGAATCATACGTGGATGACTGTCAAATGGGTTCGTTCTCTCTTCTATTTCTTGTCTCATTTTGAACTGCCTTTCTTTTTTTTTGGTCCTCATCCTCCCTCTCTCTCTCCCTCCCTCCCTACCTCTCTCTCTCTCTCTCTCTCTCTCTCTATCTATCTATCTATCTTTTGTGAGTGTGCTTTCCTGGGAGAGGGGAAAAAGAGGGGAGATGGGGAGGCATTTTATACCACAAACAATCCATGAAATCAGCTTAGAGAATGTCTTCTTCAGGCTAGGCCATTCTCGAAGACTTGGAGTTTAACCGTTCAGGATAGGTTTGGTTTGAAAGGTAAACAAAAAAAATATATGGACGACCTTCTCGTTGCCACGTAGGAACCTTTTTTTTTTTTTTACTTTCCCGTGTTGGGCCTGTCGTCTTTTTTTTTTGTGTGTGTGTATGTGTGTGGGAGACGGAGGCAGATGATTTACAACACGGCTTTTGTCTTCATACCTGGCACTAACTAGGGCACACTACGCTCTTCTTGAGCGGCAACCTGGGCTTTGGCAATCCTTTCGGCCAGGTATCTGTGCTGAACCTCCTCGTTCCAAGCATCCGCTCTGATCTTCGGGTCGGCCGAGATGAACTTCAGCCAGGCGTAGAACCTCGGTGCCTCTGCCCGAAGCCTGTCGTGGATCGCGCGGGCGTCGCGCACGAGCTCCCAGCGCAGGTGCGCCTCGAGCCGCACAAAGAACGGGCCCGTGAGAACCTCGACGAAGGTGACGGTGTCGCTGTCGCCGAAGTAGCGGCCCGGCGGCGGGCACACGCTTTCGAGCCCGCGCGCGGCGGCCAGGAACGCCTGCTGCGCCTCCTCCGTGGCCTGCCCCAGAAGCGGCCTGCTGGCGCTGCGTATGCCTTCAAAGTGCACGCCGACGAACAGGCGCCGCTGGTACCTCTGCGTCGCGACGGCCAGGCTGTGGCCACGCGGGAGCACGTCTTGCGCTCGAGCGGCGTATTCGTCGCCCCAGCCCGGGGCCAGGTCGAGCAAGAACTCGCAGATCAGGCTGCTTTCCACGACCGCATGTTTCTGCCCGCTGGTCGGATCCTCGACTTGCAGCGCGGGCACCAGGCCGCGCGGGTTGATCTCCAGGTACCACCGTTCGCGAGGGCGATCGAGCGGGATCAGCACCTTTTCGTACGGCACCCGCAGGTGAAGCAGGAGTATGCTGACTCTGTGTCCGTACACGCTCGTGTCTGACGTGTACAGCGTGATCTTGGGAAGCGCGGATGCCATTGCGCTCAACCGTCGTCTGTATGCGGTTTTGCTGGGAGCTGATTTGACTGTCGCTGAGGTCTGATGAAGGCTTGAATACGGCTGAAGCAGACGTGTGATTTGGGCAGGATACTCTGGAAAGACGACCTACATAGATGGCAACTTTGTTCGCTAATGAGCCTTGCTCTTTATATATTTACAAGTATATGCATTTAAAGTCTTAGGGCACGGGGCGCGGGAGAATGGTTCAGCCGCGTTCCCGGACCCCAGATCCTAACAACGTTCTCCCTGCTCGCATGTCAGTCAGACAACGTATGGAGTGGCTAAAACTCGTCCGATACGGCGAACTGCGGTGTCTGAAGACCTTATTCTGCCAGTATGAACCTGGCGCTGGTCTTTTGAATCCTTGCTCTTGGCACGTGTTTTTGCCGTGCAGGACGAGCACCCATGCCTACAATCTACAAAACCCCTCTCGACAGAAAGCTCACCGACCTGCCCTATTTGGTGCTCAATACGTACAACCTAAGGCGTCGGTATCTTACCCGCTCTAGTTGTTACGACTTAAGATTTGCAAACACATGAACCGAGTCGAATTCAGCCTGCACGTTGCGAAATGAGACCATTGCAGCATGAGACTTATCAACGTGCACACTCTGCATCTCGAAGAGTTCTCACAAGATAAGGTGCCGCGCTATGCTATCTTGTCGCATACCTGGGGCTCGGACGAGGTCTTGTTCGACGACCTCCAGACCGAAGACAGAGTCCTTCTCTCGGATCGGCAGGGTTTTTGGAAGGTAAAATCTTGCTGCGAACAAGTCTGCGCTCGTCCAGGCCGGATTGACTATGTCTGGGTTGACACCTGCTGCATCGACAAGAAGAGCTCAGCAGAGCTGAGTGAAGCTATCAATTCGATGTAAGCAAAACTTTCCGCCGATCGTGCTTGGAAATCCGGTCGGTACTGGCCATTGTGCGCATCGAGGCTGAGCATCCGCCGTCTATAGGTTTCAATACTATGCTGGGGCCGAGTACTGTCTCGTTTATCTAGAGGATTTTGAAGACGACGCAAGCCCTGCACTGGAAAATCTAAAACACTGTCGGTGGTTCACAAGAGGGTGGACGTTGCAGGAACTCATCGCACCCAGCGATGTCTACTTCATGTCCAAAGGGTGGAAGCCTCTCGGACGCAGGTCAGAGCTGGCTGCTGTAATTTCCCAGATCACCGGTATAGCGCTCAACATCATGAATGAGGACATTTTGACCGGAGGGGCCTCCCTCACATTCCAGCACGCAAGCTTTGCTCAGCGGATGTCCTGGGTTTCCCGTCGCTCTACGACCAGAGAGGAAGACATGGCATACTGCTTGCTGGGTCTCTTTGACATCAGCATGCCAGTTCTCTACGGCGAGGGCCTGATCAAGGCTTTCCGTAGACTGCAGGAAGAGATCGTCAAGACCTCGTCAGACCACAGTCTATTCGTCCACGATTCGGCTTCCACGGAAAATCGTTCCATCCTTGCGGAGACCCCAAAAGCGTTCGCCAACTATGGCAACGTCGTTCAGTTTCAGCCAGACTGGCTCTCGGAAGTCAGCCCGTTCTCTCTCACGAATCGAGGCGTGCAACTCGAGGTCCCTTTGAGGTTGCATCCTCACGGCGCCGTGGCTGTGCTCGCTTGTCGATATCGAGGGGATTTTCGTGGACCCTTAGGCCTTGAGCTTGAACGGTCTAGGGCACACGATGGAAACTATCAGCGACGAGCAAATCCGCCGCACGTCGTCATGGACTTTACCAGACCAGGAGAAGGAGACTACAAGATCACGTCGATATATGTCTCACAGAAGATAGAGAAGGTGAAGCCCGATTACTGGACAAACTCTCCGACGAACATCTGGTTCCGAGTTCCGAACTCTGATGAAGACTGGAGCATTGTCAAGGCCTGGCCGTTTTGGTTCTGGAATGCCACTTATCAGACCTTCTCGATCGATGTTAACAGGATCTGGGATCAACACTACAATGACCATCTGACGTTGCCGTTGAAGCATTTACAGCTGCTGAGAAAGCAAGCAAAGGGGCTGAGGATTCCAGCCATCGCCATCGTTTCAAACAACCACGACGCCCTTGGATCCGTGTTTGGCCATGTTGTCGTCGTGACCTTGAAGCCTCAGCGCCTGACCTCGAACGCTCTGTGCCCAGATGTAGATTTTGATGCGTTCCCACTGCATCGTAGATATGGTCGGCTGGAAGAGATTGACATCGAGGATATAGTAAACGAAATTGATATCCGACGATGGAAAGGCCATGGAATCGAGTTTTCACCTGACGATGCAGATAACCCAAAGTTACAATCCGTTCCTGGCCAAGCTTATGAAGATATTCAAGAAAATGAGACAGACGGCTTGATCGCGATGGAAGCGGCATTGTGTCGAAAGCATCTTCTTGGTGAAGACGTGTATGTCGTGGACATAACACGAGGACTGTCATCACTAAAAGCCTCGGATGTGCATGTGGAAACAAAGCCTGTAACGGAAACTGTGTCTCCTTCTGATGAGACTCCTGATGACGAACCAAAAGCGTTTTCTCTAGTGGTTCAGGATTTTGGATAACTTCTTCCAGTGGATAATCTGGCGACTGGCCAAGCTAGCTATCGCGATGGAAAGATATACAAAGCGCTGACATATCGATGATGAGGAGAGGAGACATTAGCAACGTTTCATGTGAGAACGAATCCCGTAGAAGAACATTCGCCCATGCGAAGCAGTGACACTTCTCCGTATATCAAGACAATGTATAGAGGCCGAAGCAAACCAGCCCAGTCAACGCTGGTGGATGCAAGTGTTTCAGAACGAGCAAGTAAGCGGACAGGGTGCAAGCAACGACGCTTTGGATGATGCTAGAAAGAATCCACCAATGCAAATCATCTTGTCCGCAGCATAGCAAAAGTGGCTCTTTGGTTGAGGAGGGGTTCTTATTTACACCAACATCGACCGCACCAGTTTTGGAGAAACAGCTTTTGAAGCGGTGTACAACGGTCGTCGCATGTCGGACGAATGTTTCTTGCTTCATTTACAGAGGCTGAGCACACGGCAGCTTCGGATTCAAGGATTCGTGTTGAGATGGTATGCAAAAGTCAATTGCTTGATTGCTGCCTTATGCTCCAGGGGCCCAGATACGCGATGACACGCGAGGTCAGGTGATAGATGGATCCCAGTATGCAGATTTGTCGTCGTTCTCATTCTAATCAATTCACGCGTTATCCACCAAGACTGTGCCGTGGCCCTCTGATGAGCCCATACGGTGAAGGTCAAATAAGAGTTCGAAGAGCGCCTGGTTGATGGAAAGAAGCACTGACGGCCGCGGACTCCAGAGAAGCTCATCGCGTCTGAGATGACCTCGAAATTCGGCGCCTGCTCAACGCGCATGTTGACCGATTAACCTCTCGAATGGGCGCTTGGCATGCTGGAGGAGAGGTACAAAGTCTGTACTTTACTTGGAAGGTGAAAGACTATGTAGCGATACTTTGATATCCGCGTCGATCATAGCGGATGAGTTTTATTTTCGTCTGGCCTTGTCTGCTCAGCAGAACAGAAGCAGACGCAGGGGTCGAGTTGGTCCTCGGTGCATGCATCCAGCGCTAAGTTCTCCGTGTGCTTTCCAATGTCGAATCCATGTGCTCGGGCAAGTACCAAGCCAGCGCCAAAAATGTTCATAGCAAGTATGTAAGGCAGATGCGGCCGATGACTCCGATCTGCTGAGAGTATGAAGCTGTACGAAATGGGTTTGGGCACTTCGGAGCGCGTCTCCACTTCTTGCACCGTCCCTCCTGACCCAGCCTTTCGTATTTTTCTCTGCTCATCATTCAACTCAGCCTTGCTAGCTATCGAATCAACAATCAGATCAAGGGGCCCGTCAATGACGAGCACGGGCACGTCGGATTGGGTTAGCAGGAGGTCCGGGTTATCGATTAGTTCCTTGTGGAGCTTCGTTGGTACTGTTCGCATCTGCTGAAAAAGCAGCCAGAATCCGGGAGAATGAGTCCTGGCAAGCCGACTCTCGATTCCAATGGGTTGAGTCCGGTTCTGCCGTCGTCCGAGCACGCAACGTCACGCCAGCTCGCACCCAAGTCTCTCCCCTCAGGTATTTTTTCTCTGTGTCTCTTTCCGTGCGTCTATGCCTACGTATGACGTACGCAATCCTTGAGATAAATCGCCCCCCATTTACGGAGTACGACGATACTGTAGACAAGATAGCAGCGGTTGAAAGCATCTTCCAAAACAATAACTCGCACAGGTACCTCTCTGTACATGGTTTGTCCCCCACCGGCGGAGGTACCAAGGAGCCCAACACACGCGAGGGGAGCTTCCAGCAGCTTTCGCGCCGAGCAGAAGCTTAGCCCGGTCACTCTGAGCGATGCCATACGTCGATCCGGTCTAGGTTGTGCAGTTGTTCTTGCAAAGCTGCTTGGCTGCTCGTCCCCGCCCGTCAGAAGCTTCCCCGACTCGGTATAGCTCCAACTCCCCGCCCGCTCTGTCAATCACCACTGCGGTACACGCCCGCCCACATGCGCCCGCCTTTTCTGCAAGCCTAGCAGGATGTGATGATAAGGTTCAGCGAGTGCTTGTATATCAATGACGAGTTGCATGCATAGCTGACCCGTAAGATGGCTCGCTCGGCTCGCTAGTGGAATTCCAGGCTAGGTACTGCTTAAAGCTTGCACAGCTCCGCTCGTTTTCTTCTGTCTCGTCGTGATATTTTCCTGTCCCATTCTTTCGTTGTTCGCCTTCTATCAAGCTCTTTTGGCGCCTGAATTGAGCCAGTGAATTGCGTCGTTGTCTTTCGCTGTCCCTTGATTTAGGACAGCTGGACATCCTGTCTATCATACCGTACAAGAAAGCTCCATGTGAGCTCATCTGAAGCTAGGAAGAGAGAGAGCGAAATCCTAGGAGACGAGTCGGCATGATGGCGCTTTTTGTCGCTGTGCTGCTCACCATATGGGTGAGCTTTGCAGACGCTCAGAACTACACGGTGCATTCTGCCTTCATTTTCGCAAACACGGGCGACCGAACACCTCTGCTGGACGTCAACAATACGCCTGCACTCACTTACCTAGGTGCCCAGCAGATGGCCAACCTGGTAAGCACGGCCCATAATTGCGTTTGAAAAGGCGACCGAACTGAGACGGTGTCGCTAGGGCGCATATTTCCGCAGAAGGTACATCGGGGCTGGCGATGTCAACCCGCTGGTCGGATCGACCATGCTGGATGGCCTCTCAAGCTGGAGGGTTAACAATGACGCGGTGTTTGTGCAGGCCGTCGACTCTCAGTACACAGTCGCTTCGGCGACGGCGTTCATGCAGGGTCTGTACCCGCCATACACTCTCGGCGCCGCGAACCAGAGCTCGATCTTAGACCCGAGCGCGATTACCAGCAATGGAACGTATATCGAGGCACCCCTCAATGGATATCAGTATGCTGTAGTCAATACAGTTGGCTCAACCGACCCCTACGTCATTTACCTGACCGGAACGAACAACTGCCAGAGTTTCGGCGATTCTGCACAGGCTTACTACAGCTCCGAGACCTTCAACAACACTGAAGAAGCTGTCCAAACACTGTACCAAAGCCTTGGACACGCCGTTTTGAATGGCGTGATACCGCAGGATCAGTGGTCCTTCGCCAATGCCTACTTGATCTACGACTACATTAGCTACCAATACAACCATAATTCGACCGCCTACGATATCCTTTCGGGACCAGGTTATAAAGATAGCTACGACCAGCTTTACGGACTGGCTTCGGAGAAGCAATGGGAAATATATGGTGACCAATCCGTTTCCGGTCTATTTGCTGGAGATAAGATTCGCACCATAGGTGGCCAGACGCTTGCTGCTAGGGCCGCAGGCTTGTTACTGAACAATATCGACACCGGCGGTTCGAGCACGGTAAGCTCGCTGTGTGTCAAGCATTTGCAGTCGGTGGCTAATTATAAGTAGAAAATCAGTTTGGCCGTTGGCGAGTACGACGTCATGATGGCGCTTTTCTCGCTCCTCAGCCTCCAAGACATCGACACCAACTTCGAATACATTCCACCTTTTGCGAGTGCGTTCGCTTTCGAGCTCTTCTCATACGAGAACGAGACCTCGCTTGGCACGTACCCAGACACAGACAGCCTCTGGGTTCGCTTCCTGTACATCAACGGTTCTCTCACCAACGACAATCCGAACCCCAGCATTCAGGCGTATCCGATCTTCTCACGTGGCCCTAGCGAGACAGACATGAAATGGAACGACTTCTTTAACGCCATGGTCAGCATCGGCATGGAGAACGTGGGAGACTGGTGCGTGACGTGCAACGCGAATAGCGTCTTCTGCCCGGCCTTCACAGACTCGACGGGCAGCTCAGGTTCAAGCTCGTCTTCGCGCGGCAAATCGAGCGTGTCGCCGGCGGTGGCGGGCGTGATCGGTGCGGTCGTCACGCTCGCCGTCGTGGGCCTTCTTCTTGGCCTGGCCATGCTGCTCGGCGGCGTCCGTTTCCACCGCAACCCAAGGAGCAGGAAACGCGATCTGGGCGGCTTCAAGGGTTCGGCCAAGCTCGCGTCCGACGCCGACCTCCATCTCCCCAAGAACGCAGCTCCGGTCGGAGTCGTCGCGACCGAGGTCGCCAACGACCAGAAACGAGGCCACGAGCGCGTGGGAAGCTGGGAGATGGACAAGAAACCGGGCCGCGACACGTTCTCGAGCCTCGGTGGCGCCACGGTCAAAGGAGACGACTACGGAGCCAAGTCGAGCTTGGAGGAGGAGCGCGACGGGATCAGCCCGTTCAGCGCGCCTGTTCATCCGCGCGAAAGCATTTGAGCGAAACAGCAACATCGCCTCGGGCCAAGCGGCTGCTTTTCGGTCACGCAAACTTTCACTATGGGCTTTGGGTTTTTGTCCATCTTGATCTGTAGGGTTCGAATGCTCGGCGTTCTGCGGAAGGAGATCAGCAAACAATTATGATACCACACACTCACTCCCGTGAAAGGGTCGAGTCTTAGACATTTATTGCACCTTTAATTTTTTTTCCACCACTTTGCCGATTGTATCGTAGCCTTGCGCAACAATCTACTTCTTGTACATAGAACACCACTTGCATATGACGTTGAATTTAAAAATGGAGCGAGCCTAATTTACTTTGTGATTCAGGCAGCTACGTCCTCAAACTCTAGAACGTTTGAACCCGCAAAGCGGAAACTCATTCCTCTTGGTCGTACACGCGGCTTTAAAGCTCATCCTTAGCCTCTGCACCCGAGTCCGATTCTCTGCTTACGCTCGCGACCGGCTTGTCGCTAAGGCCGCGTTTGACCATGCTGCTGATGATCTCGTATCCGACTTGGGCAGCCGCCAGAGCCGTCGTTTCCCCCGCGCCGTCGTACGCGGGGCTGACCTCGACAATGTCGGCGCCCACGACGTTCAAGCCCTCGATTCCGCGCAGGATCTTGATCAGCTCCCTCGTTGTCCATCCGCCGGGTTCGGGGGTGCCCGTGCCGGGTGCGAGGCCGGGGTCGATCACGTCGATGTCCACCGACAGATAGACGGGCCGCTCGGTGCCCACGTGGGTCATGATGCGGTCGATGACGCCCTGGACGCCGATCTCGTCGATGTCGTCCGTGGTGATGCGCGACCAGCCCTGCGTGTCGTCGTCGGCGTAATCTCCCTCGTCGTCGCCCGCGAGACGCGTCCGCAGTCCCGCATGCACCGAGCTCCCGTTGGCGATGAGCTTTTCGTTCCCGGCGATCCAGAACATGCTCCCGTGGTTAAAGTAGCTCTGGATCTCCGGCCCATCCACGGCTTCGTCGAACCACGCGGATGGGTACTTGGCCGGATGCCACGTGTCCAGGTGCGCGTCGAAGTGGACGACGGAAATGGGCTGCTTGTAGACAGACGACAGCGCCCTCAACGCAGCTAGGGCGATGCTGTGATCTCCGCCCAGGGTAAGAAGCTTGGGAAAGCGACGGTAGTCCTTCGTTGAGGCGGCTGCTGCTGCGGTAGGTGGGCGGTCGCCCAGCTCCTCAAAGGCCTCTGTCAATTGGCGAAGGGCGAGCGCGTTGTCAAAGGGCGTGACCGGTATGTCTCCGCAATCGATGATGGTGGCCCACGATGTGTAGGGGTTGATTTTTGCACGGGGATTGTACCCGCGGAACGAAGTTTGGCGAGCGGATGCGGCCCGTATTGCTCGGGGACCGAATCGTGCTCCTGGCCTATAGCTCACAGACGTATCGAATGGCGCGCCCAGGATCGCAATGTCATATTCAGTGCCGGGATCCGTCAAGCAACGTTTGTGTGGCAGGTGGGCAAATGTTGATATTCCAGAGAAGCCCCACTAAGAAGGATCGTTAATCAAAGGAATAGACTCTATCTTTTCCTTTATCTATCCAAACTTTACATACGTCAATACCCCATTTCGCTGATAAATCATTCAGTCGTTGCGGTGAGAATTCTCGATGATGGTGATGAGTGCCATCGTCTGAGGCGTAGACTGAGCAGACGGCTGATAACAGCAGCCAACGACCAATGTTGAACACCATGACGTGTATTCACTATCGGATAGAAGAAGAGAAGAAAGGAAAAAAATTTTCTGGAGAAGAGAGCTCCATAAACACAAACACGGTGCATGCTGCTAAACAAGGAGCGGCTGGACTTTCCGGTATCGTCTCTTCTGGCTAACTAAGTCGAGTACTGGTTTTGGAGCCCGTCTGATCGGATGCCGCGGACTACGAAAAGGGCAATTGTCTCCGAATACCGTCCAGGTCAGATTCTACAAAACTTCTGTACATTGCCTAGCACGGTGATTCTCTGGCAATCAATCGATTCTGCCAGGCTGTAAAGTACAGGCCTAAGTGGCTCAAGTAGAAGGCGCCGAAACCACTTTGGAGGTTTGTTGTACATGGCAAAGTCTGCCGCCGATCATTCACTGCGCGGCACCAGTTGGACTTTCCAGCCTGGTGATGTTGGCACAAGTTTCACACTGGCTTTGACCACGGCCCAAGCAGAGACCCAACGCTGGCCTGGGTTGTCGGCTTGTGCTGGTATGAAGACGAAAAATTGCATCATTTTTGTCCTAGCGTGCCAAAGCAGATCGGCCGGAGAAGAGCCCAGTTGTCACGCATTCATTGCAAATGATGACGAGCTCGCTTGATGAGCCATGCCTCTGTCATGCCAGCAAGGTTCGCGTCTTCGCCTCAAGTCTGATTGAGTAACAATGTATGAAAACATGGTCCGTCTCCGCAAGGTAGCTGTCAAGGAATGTGGTTACGCTCACGCAGGGCCTGCCGGCTCAGTCTCTATCAAGTCTGACACTTCGATCCGTGGACTGACATTTTCCTTGGGTGTCACTGCTAGCAAGCGAATCGCTGAGAGTGTGCTTGAGCAGATTCAATAAGGGCTCAAGTCGATGGGAGCCAGTTGATTGCTTTGGGTGGCACTCGTGACTTCGCGTGTGGTGTGGCGCGTCGCTCGCGTTAGCTCATGCTCCAATGGAGTGCGCCCTCAGCCCCCTACAGTCAAGTCGTCGACCTCCAGCGATTTTCCTCTGTTGCCTGGCAGACCCAAAGAAAATACCAGCCCTTTCACGCCCGGAATCTCTGTCGCAATGCCTGAGGTAACCATTCCCATGTTTTCATGATGCTCTAATACCTGTGGCTGTTCTGATGTTCTGCGCTCTAGATTGCGGAGGTCACTCGTGTCCTACATTTTCTCAAAAAGCACGCCGTTGGCCGCACCATCTCCTCGGTCGCGGCCGAGCATGATGACATCGTGTACGGAAAGGTGGGCTGTAGTGCAGATGCGTTCAAGAAGGCAATGACGGGAAAGAAGATCCTGGATGCTCGCCAGCAAGGGAAATACTTCTGGCTGGTCATGGACTCTCCGCCACACCCGGTCATGCATTTCGGCATGACCGGCTGGCTGAAGTTCTCCAACGACGACTCGAGCTTCTACAAGCCCACAAAAGACGAGGACAAGGTCTGGCCGCCCAAGTTTCGCAAGTTCGTGCTGAGCGTCAAGGGCAATGACGGCGAGGAGGACAGGGAAGTAGCCTTTGTAGATGCTCGGCGGCTCGGCAGAATACGACTTGTAGACTGCGAGGCGGATCAGATAAGAAAGATGAGCCCGCTGAAGGAGAATGGGCCAGACCCGGTCATCGACAAGGACATACTCACGCAGGATTGGCTTAAGAAGAAACTGCGCAGCAAGAAGGTGCCCGTTAAAGCGCTGCTGCTGGATCAGGCCAACATATCAGGCGTAGGAAATTGGGTGGGGTACGTGAAGTCAAAACAATCAGAAAGTTGATGGTTTGACACGCATCTGCTGACGCTGAGAATGGCAGCGACGAGGTGCTCTACCAAGCGCGTATTCACCCTGAGCAATACAGCAACACGTTGAGCGACTCGCAAGTCAAAGACCTCCACACCGCTCTCATTGACGTGTGCACTACCGCATGCGACCTCCTGGCAGACGCAGACAAATTCCCCAAAACGTGGTTGGTGAAACACCGCGCAAAAGGCAAGAAAGGCGCGGGTGTGCTGCCTAATGGAGACAAGATCATACATCTCACCGTCGGTGGACGCACATCTGCTGTCGTGCCCAGCGTGCAGAAGAAGACGGGCCCCGTGGCTGGCGATGCTGACGAGCAAGACGAGCAAGACGAAGAAGATGAGAAGCCAGCGAAGAAGGCGAAAAGGGACAAGGAGCCTACAAACGGTGTGGAGAACGACTCGCTGAAGAAGAGGAAAGCCACTGCAGATGCCGTTAAGGAAGAGCAAAACGCACCGAAGAAAGCAAAGGAAGCAAAGGAAGCAGCGACACCAACAACGGGACGCAGGCGCTCAGGTCGAGGTGCCAAATGATTGATCATCTCCTTTGTTCATTTCGTCATGTGGACTCCGTCAGATGTGCCCATGTCTTTTGCTGCTCTTGGAGTGCACAGAAGGTCTATTTTTCTTTATTTTTTGTTCTCTAAATAAAAGGGCATGATTCATCTCTACCATAGCCTGAAGTAGAGTTATGATGTGTATGCAGAGAGTAAGTGCTGATCCCTAGAATATGGGGTATACAATTAAGATCACATGATTTTGTTTGAAGGGAAGCTTTATTGCAACCTCCCCGAAGCTTCCTAGCTAACATGAATACACCTAGGGGAAAGAATCTGTGTTGGGGCCAGTGATCAACAACTGACGATTTGATAGGGCTGGATGTGTCGTCATCTCGGCGAAGGGCTGGCGAAAGATGCGGGAGTTCCAGGACTCACCCTCCTTGCTGGAGGACCAGCCTCCGGTTCCTACGTCCGCTGTTAGCACCTGCGTAGCCGCCGGCTGGGCTCGTTGGACGGTGCCAGCTCAACAGGACAGACTTACCTCCGAAGCTTTCCTCTTACCCAACCCGTGCGTTGCCGGCACGGTGCCTGACCAGACAGCCGCTGTCGGCGTGTTGCTGCTCGTGAAGGGGGCCTGCTGTTGCCGTGCATTCTGCTGTTGCTGGCTCGCCGCAAGCGGCCGTATTGCGGGCGAGCCGACAATGTTTTTGTCGCCGGTGATGTTCACGCCGCAGTTGACGTGGATGTTAAAGCTGCGGGTCATGTGAATCTTCTGGTTGACGGTGGCCAGCAACGCGGTTGCGATTCGCGTGACGTCCGGGGGCGGAAGAGCGATTATATTGCCACAGCCCTGGATCGTTGTTGGAACGTGGACGTTGAACGTCGTCGTCGGTGACGATTCTTCGTCCTCATCTTCGTCAACATTTCCGAAGACGGTGTGGATGGGCGGCGTATATGGCGGCGGGTCGGGCAAACCTTGTAGGGGACTTCTGGTCGCCGATGGACTTGTAGCCGCCGGCGGATGAGTGGCTGTCCTCGTCGTCGTGTTTGACATTTTGAATAAAAGCACTGTGAAAGAGGGCCACGGTCTGGGCCTGCGGATAGCAGATCTTTCAAGAAAGTGAGACGCGGATTCGCGCGATGTGTTTTAACAGATGAGACCAGATGGGGTGAGCACTGCGTTCGTGTGGTGTGAGATTTCTTGCAGCGCTGCCAGCGTTTTGTTAGCACCGACTGGTAGAGACTGGAGAAGCAAACGTTTTTCGATACGTGCTGAATCTGCTTGGAAAATATAAGGCATAGCAACGTGCGTCAAGGAGGAGGGTTGAGAAAGTTGCACACGGATTTTATAGCACGCGAAAAGGTGTCACGACAATGGGAGCGCTCGGCTTATTGTCGTCGTGCTACACAGCTCGTCAAGTGGGATTTGGGCGTGCGCGCGCCCTGCTGTCAGCCCAGGAAGCGCGGGGCTGGCGTCTACTGTCGCATCCCATTGTCACTGGCACGGCTGAATCACGACGTGCGTCGCTGGCAGCGGGTGGAAGCGGGGGATGCGGACGCGCGAGGGGATCATGGAGCAGTTTGTAGCCTCAACAGGCGTTTTCTTCCCAAAGGGCGCAGTCCATGACAATTTCCATGGCGAGTTCGACCGAACGTCGCGCCCCTTCGGCGTTTTCCGTCGCCGCGGAAGCCTTTCCGTTGTGCTCAAGCCACACTGCGTGGCGCCGCTCTCGTGTGCCTGCCTTGCAGCCTTGGCGAGCTTAGCTCCTAGCACACTGAGCAGCCGATCCAGGCCTACGGCAAAGGTCAAGGCCTCAAGTAGAGAGATACAACACGTGCATGTGCAGTTCTGCATTGCGACATCAGAGCCAGCTCGTTCACACGCGCTTTGAACCTGGCCTTCTCTGACATCGTCGCTCACGGCCTTTGGTTCTTTCGACAGCCATGGCTTTCCATCTCGTTCAATTGGGGGTATCCTAGCAGTCGAAACCTTCTATTTCTACATCACGACTTCGTCTTTGACTTCTTTAAACTGAATTTTGTCAGAGACCGCTTGAAAAGGCCGCCGTCGCTCCTTGTCCGCTTGTTCTCCGACGAGGAGTCTTCAAGTTCTGCAGCTGTCCACGCAGGGCTCCCTTTGTCCTTTCCACCCAGGCTGCTCTTCGAATCACTCGCAGACAGAGTGGGCCTCGAGAATTGGGTTCCGCTCGACGACGAAATCTTCAATTCTGACAACGGCGTGTCGAGTTCTGCTGGTAACATAGCGTTGTCGCCAGAGAGCTCCGTCACCGTCTCGCCAGCGTCGAGCTCTGCCGCCGTCGTGTTGGGATCCAGTTCCGGCACTACGCTCGCATCCATCTCAACGGCTGAGCGCGGGCTGCGTAGTCCGTCCGACTTTTTGTCAAATCGATTCATATAGATAATGTCCTGCAGTCCGCCTCGAAGCTTGCCGAAACCAAAACCGACGGAGACCTTCTTAAGCGGAATGAGGCGATCCACCTCGTCGTGCACGTGCTGCTGGAGAAGCACTTCCTTGCCCGAGAATGTCTTCGTCTTGGCTGTCGTGTAGTACACGGCAGCATCCTCAATCTGTTTGATCGACACGTATTTGCCTTGGTATCGAAAGGAGCGCTCCAAGATCAAAATCATGTCGCAGGCGCACTTGAACAGCATACGAGCAGTTGGCGGTGATGCTAAGATGCATCCAATGGCCCCGACGACGATACCGATACCCAGCGTGGGCACCGCTGTGCCGACTGCCGTGAGTGAAACAACGCCGAACTGCGACAACGTCACCTTCATGAAATTCTTCAGATTTCCCATCACAACCCTGGACATGATGTCCTCGATTTCTTCAGGAGCGGCTTTGGGGAAGCCAAAGCATTGGAGGATATGCTCACAGATGATGCGCGAGACCGTTGGGGTGCCTATCATTCCCGAAAAAGGAAGAGGGACCATAGCAGTTCTAATGGCGTGGGTGCCTAAGCGCATACACTCTGTGATGGCGCTATCAATTTTTTGCTCCACGTCCATGACTTGTGCTGCCACGCAGAATAAACGTACGCGTTCGTCGGTGATCAGATCTAAGGTCTGGTTAAGAAGCGCCCGTATACCGTCGTCGTCGTCTGGTATTCAGGTAAGCTCGATGTTCATCACTCTAACTCCCATGATGTAGCTACCTTTGGAAATGCAGCAGTACCCGTCCGCTTTGTAATGCTCGATCTGCGAGAACTGATCTCGAAGCTTCCCAAATTGCTCTTCTGCCAACTTGTCCGCCTCCAGATTGGCACGCTTACTGGCTTCTTTGAAATCGTTGGTGTCCTTCATGTACTCTTCAAGTAGCTGCATTTTTCGAAAGGCAACGAGCTTGTCCTTTTTAGTACCTACGACGAACACAGGCACATGATGAGAAAATTGCGCAATCGTTTGGAAAGTCCTTTTGTCTGCCTCTTCGATACGCGAGACATCTGAATCGACGCAAAACCTCGCCAGAAATCAGTATCAAGGTGTTCGGGACGGAACAGAATCTTGCAACCAACCATATGACGTGCAGCGATTCCGCTGGATCTTTTTGAAATGCACGGTGCCGTAAGAATTTAGCGATAAGATCAAGTTCATGGTCACTACCAGCCTGCCAACCACGTGAATCATGTATCAACAAACCAGGGTGATTCGGACTTTCGAAAGCCTTGTCGATATCGTGAACACCTTGCGAGTAATCGTTCGACTCCTCTGTCATCTCGACGCCGAATACCTTGTTTATCAAAGTTGATTTGCCGACTCCTGTCTTGCCGCAAACCAGAATGCGGAAGGCCTTGACACCACTGGCCTGAAGATGGAGGCCTTCGAGCCATGGCTGCACCCTTCGCTCGTCGTCGAAGCACCGTTCTTGGAAGTCTGCCAACTCCAGCTTCCGAAGCTTGAATAGACCTTGTTCGTACATCTTTGGGTTCCGATCAAGAATTACAAAGAGCGAGGGGTGAATAATTGTCCCCCAAGCGCCATCTGTTGTCCATCCATGCAGCTCCTTCGTCGAATTGTTCCAGATCTTCCGCTGCGAATGGAAGAGCCTGCTGTTCTGGGCCAATCGAACGCTGTGCGACGGGTCCGACTTGGTGTCCGTGTGCAAGCTTTGCAGATCGAACAAAGTTGTTTCGAGGCCGTTTGCATACCGAAGCCGCCACTCAATCTTTTCCTCACCTCCAAGGTTGGGAAGACTGCCTGTAAATTGAGGGAAAGCCAGCTCTAGGACCCTGTCTTTGCTGTCCGGCTGGATGACGAGACCCGAATTTATGCTTTCCAATATCATCCACTGATACGGGTATAGTGAAAGGCCATCGCGCTCTCCGCCGCCTCCCATGTCACGATGTGATCCCATGAACCAGGCTTGTACGAACGAGCGGCCTTTCATCGCTTCTGCGGACGGCAGGCTTAGGACCTCTGGAGCCAGCCCCGTCTCGTTAAATGCTAGAGCATGGCGGATATTCTGGATCGAGCCTACGAAAGAAATATCGTATTGATGCTTTTCCAGTGAAGGCCTAACGGTGTCGAACAAGCCCACAAAACGTATTACCGGTGCTGCGTTAGAAAGTTCACGTATCTGGGTGAGCAGCCGATTGCCGTTAAGACTGTCATCGCGTGAATGTGCGTTCTCAAGATCCAACGCGTACTGGTAAACGGTCGCAAAGGTGCTCATTGACTTTGGAACACCCATGAAATGAAGCAGCGCAGCTACGGCACGCACTATGTATGCCCCGCGCCCAAATCCGTAGAAGAATATTTCATCATCAGGACTCTCGAGCTTTTCACAGATATCTCTGGTGATATCCTTGATCTGCTGATCAATAGAGCCAACGGATCGGGTCTTGAATTTGCCAAAGCGACCGTCACCAACAGCTTGGTAGTAACGGATGATCTGATTAAAGCCTCCCCTAAGTGTGCCTTGGTGTGTACCGGATGCGATTATGCTTTTCAATTTGAACACATTGCTTGAACTGCCCAGGCCCGCTGTGAATCCTCACTCGTAAGCGCCATGCATTTCGCGGCCTTCTCTGTTCAAAGACAGAGCTGAAATTGAACTCACAAAGCTTGCCATTCTCGTCATATTCTGCGCCATCAACACAAATAATCAGCCTATTCAACGGTTTATCGGTCATTGTTCCCTCAACAAAATTGCGAAACACCTTGCTGCTTTTTAGGCACCAACATTGGCTACGTTCCGAGTTACCTGTAATATCTAAATCATTATCAAGAGGTTGACCACCGGCGGATCAAGAAGAGGAGAAAAATTGAGAGGAGTATTGCTTGAGAAAAACCGCTCGTGATTTTAGAGAAGCAGAAATCGAGAGGTTTGCTGCCTCAGAGGGTTGCGAAAGCGCTTTCGGAACGGGCTGCTTACCAGTTACTTAACTCCGTGCGCCGATCATTGTTGCTTACGGAGGATGCGCGAATGCTGTTCAGCAGCAAGAAGGAAGTGGCGCCAACACGCAAGCCGCAAATTTGGGAGGCTGTTCTGCGACCTTGCAATACCGATGTACAGTGTTTCGCGCGACCTTACCAAGGGACGTTTCATAATAGCCAACAGCGACTAGCGGCTTTTGTTGCACAGCCTGATAGATAAAGTGGGTCGGGATAGGGATACGGACAATACGAGGATCCCATCAGATTTAGTCCATTTTGGTGGCTCCGTCTATGCATTGTGCGTATAGCAATTACGCACGCACACACTCTGAAAGGCTCTCTTCTGTTGATTAGAGAGATCGACACGGTATTTTGAGGGTTGTGTCCAATGGTCGGGATTAATCATTGCGCCGGTTATGAAACAAGGCTGACAGGGGTCTAAAGTGCGTCTACGGTGTGCAGCTCGCTATAAGGTGGATAATCGAAAAGTCATGTTTGCGAAGAGATTTTCCGCAAGGATCGTTGACCAGTGCCTCTAAATTTGCACGGAAGTTTTGTCAAGCGCTATCAAAACAATGCGGTCGGTGTTGAGCTGGGAAAAAGTAGGCGTCCCTGAGATCATGCCATCCATACAAGCTTATTCACGCAGGTCATAAGCTCGTTGACAGAATATTTGCCATTTTCCGAAGGCCTTCCTCTATCTTTGAAAAGGAAGATCTTTCTGCAGCAGCGTTATGGATCCGATCAGTTCAGCCCTGATTTACAGACCGAGCGTCTCGATACGTCTCCGAATGGTCCCAACGAGCTTCAAGCACATATAATCGCCTTCCTCTGGCCTACACTCCATTCCTGACCTTGCATAATGTACTTGCAGCTCCGCTGCTGCAGCGCTCTTATGCCATTCACGTTGTCGATGTTCCAATCGCTGAACTAGGCCGAGCACGCTTATTGTGTCACTATTTTGTTGCTGGAGTTGGCTGGACCGGTGCGCACTAGCTCTGGCACTACCTAACACATCTGTGCTGATAACCTTTCGCGACAGCATCTTGTATTCACTTGGGGCGAGATCGATGTTGACACCCATGGGACAATCGGCAGTACCTGTGTGTAAATGCCACCGTTCCGGATTTGAGTCGCCCATCCGATACATCATACTTCTGCCCTCTTCTTCCGCGGATTTCACTTCAGCGTCAATACTAGTTAAAATCTTACGATAACAATCCGTGATTGTCGTTAGTACCGTAGATAGCGTCATAAGGTTCTGCATTGCAGAGGTGGGTTCGAGCGGACAGATGAGGCACTTGAGTACGGAGTTTGCAGTTTGGAGGCTCAATTTAAGCTTATGAACTGAGTAGGGGAAGCTCCAGTCCTTTGTGGCGGCGAGTTCTGAGAGCGTCATGTACATGTTATGCAGGCAGAGGCAGGTGCCCGGCGTTGAGCTGAATTGCACCATTGTCGAGGCCGATGTGGTAAAGGACGAAGAAGATGCTTCCGGGCTACGATTTGAGGCCACACTTGCATCTGGAATGTGAGCGCGAAATTCTTGGTCCGGCTGATCTGTGCCGACATTCTGCAACAGAGGATCAAGCCAGGATAAGGACGCTTCCTGATGAGGTTTAAAAAAGTCGAGAGGAATGGATGATGCCATACTCAAAGGCATTCCCGTCCCAGGAAGGCCAGAGATTAGCTCGGGTGTGAGGGAATTGAAGTCATAAGTCAATTCTCCGCTGGTATCATTAAAGTTGATCCCGTTCGCAGCATTTGCGTCGGCACTGGTAACAGTCGTATCGTTTTCTTCTCTGGGTCGTTTTCTGGGCCGACCCATCTTTTTGCGGAGAGAATAGACACACAAAAGCCGTTCAGTTTGACATCTTTGACAGCTGGGAGCGTCCCCGGAGCACTTCAACTTCCTGGCGCCTGGCGACAGGATTAACGATTAGCTGCTGGGGTTTCATTTCTTTAGAGACTATTCCAGCAAATGGAGAGGGACATACGGCACTCATCGCACGCTGCGTGCTTTTTTGGCTCAGCCTGCTGGTCTTCTGGCATAGCAGCGAGACTGGAAGGCTTCTTTCACTCGAGGGGAGAGGGAGGATCGGAAGGGAATTAGACTTCTATGTCAAAAAAGCACGAAAAAGCAGGCGAAGTTGAGTGAGAAGATGCAGTGAGCAACGTCGATTATATGAAGACCGCTGGAAGTCAATTCAGGTAGAGTTAACGGACGAAGACACTGCAAATGTCCTGCTTACCTAATCCTTTCCTAAACGAGATTGACATGCTAAGAAACACCCTAGTTGGAGGTGTCTCTCCCTACCGCGTCTTTGCTTCTGATTGGCCACACAGTGGCTGCCTGAAGCAATAGGGTGGCTGGCCCAAGCTCTTTCGGACTTGCAGCAGGGAGCGACGGGTGTAGGAACAGTTACGCCAGCCTCTTCCAGGTACCCACATCGTACGAGCGCAACATCACCAAACTTTGCCAGCTTCGTTCTCTATCACGCGTGGTCGCGCCCTACCAACTCGATCAGCCTTTCTCCACGTTCGGACCGGACGCAATGCTTCAGTGTCGTGCGGTCGCACGTGCTGCGGCACTGATACGTGGACGAGGTCCAGCAGCAAGTACGCATGGCGACGTAGCCCGCGTCACACGAGCAATTCCGCACCTTGCGGCATCACTCCATCCACGATCGCGCCTTCTGGGCCTGGCTGTCCAGTCAAGTCGCCTGTTTGCCACGACGCGTTCGACCAGAGCTAAGAAGGCAAAGTCGACGTCATCGCGAGTGGCTGGCTCGAAGAAGGCACCTGCAGCAAACAAAAAGAAGGCGGCACCCAAGAAGAAGGCAAAGAAGCCGGCACCCAGGAAGAGGAAGGTGCTAAGTGAGAAGGCCAAGGCAGCTGCGGAGAAGAAGAAGGCGCTGCTGGCATTTAAGGAATTGAAGGCAGCCGCGCTGGTGGAGCCCAAAGGGAAGCCTGACAGCGCGTGGACCGTGTATGTGTCGGAAAAGCTTCAGGGGAAGACGGGCAACGTGAGAGAGGGCATCAAGGCCGTTGCCGCCGAATTCAAAAATCTCTCCGCGTCGGAGAGGGAGGTATGTGACCGAGCGAGCGCGCAGGCGACGCGACGCTAACCCGTATCGCCATCAGCACTACAACCACGTCGCCAACCAGAACAAGGAAGCGAACCAAAAGGCTTACTCCACCTGGGTCAACTCTCACACGCCTCTCCAGATCATGAGCGCCAATGCCGCCCGTCAGTCTCTCAAGCGCAAGATCGCCCAGAACAAGGCGCCAAAGGTAGCGGCACGATTCCTGTCCCCTATCAAGGACGACCGCCAGGTGAAACGTCCACAGTCTGCGTTCTTCAAATTCAATCTTGCAAGGAGGGAGAGCGGTGACTTCCAGGGCATCGCGCTGGGCGACGCCGCCAAGCTCATCACCAAGGAGTGGAAAGAATTGAGCAGCTCCGAGAAGAAGGTGTGTATTTGTACCCGTTTTCACTCATCCTGGTCTCTTTTTCTTTCCTTTATCCGACCGTTTAGGATATCGATATTCGAAAGCTGACGCATACTGTTTAACGTAGAAATACGAGGATCTCTACTTAGCCGATAAGGAGCGTTACTTGCGCGAATACGAGCGTACATATGGCAAACCACCTCCCTCAGTTGCTCAGGAAGCTTCTTAAACGAATTGAGGCAGCAAGGCGCCAGGCTCCCACTCCTTCAGCTGAAACAGAAACACTGGTTACTTTATCTGGACGGTCTAATGGCATTTAGACATGCATGAGACCGCTAAGCTGATTAGACGGGATATGACCCCGTCTGGCGTGTGATGCGTATATAAATCGGCGCTAGCTCAACATTATCATTTTTGCTTTCTGTAGGTACAAACTTTCGGGGGTTTTCCACACGTAGGCATGTTTACCTTCGGGTGCTGAGTGTGAAGGAAAGACGGACCAGTGTGTACGAAAATGCGATTTCTCAAGGGTTTCGTCCTGTGTGAATATACTATACCCAAACTTTGACTCTCATGTAGCAAGGAAGACAAAGTTGGCGCTTCATTGTGGTCATTCTGAATGTTCTCGTGGAGCTACTAGTTGCCTCTAAGAATTGGTGTGTTTCTACCTCTTACCCATGCTCCAGTGCAATGACTCTAGCTAGAGCAGCTTAGCGCTTGCGTTTGTTCTGGTCCTCTACACAGATGAAAATTGCCAAAAAAAAAGCAATCTTTCGAGATGTACATTCGCATCTGGTCGCACATATTGGATTAAGTGAGAGTCACGAACAGGTGCCCTCCTGTTGCATATCCCCTCCGCAAAGGATTTGCAAAAGGGCAGACCTGATCCAATTAAACTCTGTCCCATCACCGGCATATTAGCAAAGGCAGACATAGTGGCGCGGGTGACCGCACAAGTACGGTTCTTCCAGGGAACGTGACTGCTGCTCCGCCCCGATGCTTCGGCTGCTCCCACTCAGTATCTGGCTGCAGAGTCGGAGAATGATTGATTTTCACTCTATTTCGACACGCTTTAGGATCTTGTGGCCAGCACGAATGGGCTAGCGGTTCAGGGACTGCAATGATTCCTCTTCGCTTCCCATTGCCTGGCACCAATGGCTCATTTCTGGACTTGAAAGCCTGGGTCCTGGACAATGCGTTCCCATCATGCTCTGTACACGGCTGGTGCTAGAGCTTGAACCGCAATGGCAGCGCGTCATTGATCCCTTGCACAGGCAGCAATTTGGTTTATTGTGGGAGGCGCAATTGAAGACAGTTTGACCGCGAGGTCACTGGCGTCAGACGTCCGGACAGATATACAGAGCCTTGAATTCATGCTTCCTAATAGCCTAACAGGCCGTGTTGACCGCGGGCCGGCGCTTAGGTTGCAGAGAAAGGAGTATCCGCAGCCTCTCTGGCACGCTGCCTTAGATCCAGCTTCGCCCAAGCCACCTGAGTCTGTGGCCGGGCAGAGATGGCCTTAGGAAGCGAAAAGTGTGTCCCACTTTGAGAATTTCCCACTGATCGCGAAGAGGTGAAGAAGGTGGATCCGCCGTCAGCGATCGGTATTCTAGACGTCGGAGTTCAAAAGAACTGCCTCTTGTCCGGGGGTGTTGCCGGATATCTTGTACCCGGGGGCCCCAGACGAAATATCCATCTTGAGCCCCGCGTAGTGCGCCGCTGTGGAGACGAAATGCGGTTGTGCATTCTACGTTGTGTCCGTCGGCTTGGAGAAGACCTCGAGATGCTGAGGCGCAGGGAATGTGTGCGCAATGCGACGTGTCGGCCGGCACACAAGACGAGCGTACCGAGCAAAGACGCAGCAGGCTCAGGATGGAAAAGCTAGACGAGGCTTTTTCCCGCCCTCCGCGCGGTGCTTTTTGGCGTCGAGAGGTTGCACGGCATGTTTTGAGCGTGCTATAAGGCTCGCGGCACGATGACTGCACGACGATTGGCGTGCTGAGCGCGCTTGCAGGCAGCTCAGCCTCGTGTTGGGCCTTGCGCTATCTTTGGTCTCGCCTGGCCACAGCATCTCAGAAAAATCTGCGCCGCTTGCACGAAGAGAGACCACAACGTATGCATCCATCGGCTGGATTCTTCCAAAGGATGGTGATCTTGGTCGTTGAGGGCAATGCCGACCTTCTCGGTCATCCGTGTACGTGCTAAACTCGCAGTGCTAAGCATGGCCTGTCCGCCTGGGCTTATATTGTACGAGCGCAGGCGCTGGCGGCGGCAGATGGCCGTTCTACATTTAATACTCGTGACGAAGTGCATGTCAATGAAGGCGAACATATCTGATCTCTTTCCTTCGGAAGGTTGATCGGTTGGTTATTCCTGTTGTCCCGCCAATTCTTAGTCGGCAAATATTGGCCGTACAAAGCACAAAACAACATCGCCGACCCCCTTTAGTTTCGCCCTTTGCGGACTAAATCTCACACCTTGACGGCAAGCACGCAGAGGAGACTCTCTTCCAGCCTCGGTTTCAATTATCTCCTGCCATAACAGCGTGTGCCCAAGACATCTTCAATGACTATCCCGACCTCATCTCCTCTCTCACCCAGCTCAAATTCTACTTCGCCATTCACAAGGCCTCACAACTGGAGAGACGCTATGTTGATGACTTCCTACGCCTCATCGACAGCACTTGCGGATGTTCAGCCCAGCGAGGATGCATCTCTCAGTGTTTTTTCAGACCAACCAACAGATACATTCCGTCCTGCGGGCATCGCTATTGGGATTGCTGCCCTTGCTCTCGTCATCATCTGTTTTTGTATCTTCGTCGTGGTAGTGGTTGCAAAATGTCAAAGGGAACAGCACCGGCGACTGCAAATCACGAAGATGACTGCCGCACGACGTGAGCAAATCTTCCCATTTCTAACTACGCTCGGCTCTTCGTGCTGACCTTGACTGCAGGCGCACATAGGCAACGATTGTTTCCTCTCTCATTGCCAACACTACGATCACAACCTGCCGTGGAAAGCCTTACGGACAGCCAAGAACACATTCTCGCCATGCCAACCCATGACGCATCGAATTCAAGAGCCATGGAACAGGAGCTCGACCGTTCCGACGCAAGGATGGTCTGTCAAGGCATGGCCGATCCCGTCCTGCCCAGTTTAGATATTGATCTTGAAGCGCTGAGGATGCCGCTCCCACCGCCACCGTCGTACCAAGAAATCAGCGCGGATGGTCCCGTGAGAAGCGTCAGCGAGAGCTCATGGATCACGGAGGGAAATGTGTTGGAAGAAACCCAGCCACAGAGGCCGAGATATGGAGGGAGGAGAAATTTCAGAATGAAGACATCTGCTGCTAGGCGCGCAGGTACAGCCATACCGGCCACGAGGAGGCTATAGACGCGGATAGGCGCTGATCAAGAACGTTCGGCAGCTTTGCGTGTCGCGTTTCGTAGGTTGAGTCGAGCTGAGAGAGAGAGAGAGGACAGCGTAAATGAATTTGATCAACAGGCAATGGGCGTGCGCCGTGACATCCGCCTCTCACAAATCATCAGCAAGGGCGTAGAGCAGGAAACAAGGCCACAACGGCCACTGGAGGCACTTGTTTCCACTTTGGAAGGGGAAGTGTACATACGACTATATCCTCGATATGCCGCGTTGTTCGCTGGGCACATCGCTACCCCAGACGCGCATGGCCGAATAATCTTCTTCCTTTCCCGTAAAGAGTGTCTTGCCTTCTTCACATTTCATCGAACCGTGTTTTCTTCCAGTAATACCTTGGTCCAGTCAAACTGCGACCACTTCTTCCTGAAGCCATCAATCCGTCGATCTTGCCGGTGCCATCTGCCTTGCTTCTTGATCGTGCTCGGATCAACGTCGAGCATGCCCCCTAGGACTTCCCTCGCAAACAAATCGCCCTTTGGCCATCGCTTCTCATCCTCAACAACGTGTCCCAGCCCGCCGTCGATGGTGAACCAGACGTGAAAATAAGGCACGTCCTTGACGAGCGAGCGACGGAAGGCGAGCTTGCCAAGCCCATCCTGAGACTTCTTGAGCGTATCAATGAGCTTCTTATGCTGTGACCACTCTTCATCGGCCTGCAAGATCGCCTCTCGAAAGTACGCGGGCGCATGCTCCGCCATGCCCACGGGTAGCGGCACAGCTTCGAGCGTGGCATGTCTCTTACGGTGCGGCGCGGCAGCGTTCTCGTAGAATATGACGCCGAGACCTAGAGCATGGTACATCCTCGTCAGAGACTTCATGAAATTGCGCAGCTCCTCCCACTCGTCGTCGTCGCACTCCAGCAGATTGACGTGGTGCTGGATAGGCACGATGGTGGCTCCGTACTTGGCGATCTCAGGCTCGGTAGGGAGCGTCATGTACACGCGTGTGGCGAGGGAGACGATGGGCGCAACCGGCGGCTCGTCTCTGTCCTCATGGTGACACAGCGGGCATGTGTCAAGGATGCGGTTCATCTTTTGGAAATCCGCAATGGCGATGTTGCGCAGGTTGATCTCTGACTTGGCGACTGCCTTTGCCAACTTGGACGCGTTGTCATCCATGTAGTCCAGGTCGTTGTCAAACTTTGCGTCCTTGGCTATCCGCTCGGCCAACACCAAGCCCCCGTTCTGCGTTTTGGTTCGCCGCTCTTGACGGATCATGTCCTCGATGCTCATATCCTCGTTTTCTTCAACAAGACCACGCTCCCTGCCGCGCTTGTTGTCGATGGGCTTTACTTCTCCCGCACGGCCACCGGCGAGCATGCGGTTTTCCATGGCGCTAAGGACAACGACGTCGGGCTCCGGTCGGTTTGCTGAAGCCGCCATCGCAGCCTCGTATTCTGCCTCAAGGGCTGCAGCACTCGGATCTTTCTTCATCTTAGCCTTCATCACTTGCGCGCGCAGCTTGTTCAACGCAGTCGCATCCAAGACCTTGGTCGCCGAAGTTTCTTTCGGTTCCGTTCCTTGCGGGAATGAGCCCCCTGCCTCCGCACTAACTGATGTATTTCGCTGGGACGGTGTGCTCTTGCTCAACTTGCGTTCCTCGAATAGTTCCCCGCTGGGTTTGACTTTGCCCACATATCCTTCGCCGTACAGTTTCCTCCTTTCCAGCTCGATCTCTTCTTCCCTTGCTTCGTCAAATTCTCGCAAACTGCCATATCGTTCCAGTGCAACCTCTTCAACCGCTCGCCCCGATTCCTTGGCAGTGTCGTAGACAGCCTTCAGCTTCGTCATTCGCCACTGTGAGCCCGTGTCTCCGAATTCGTAGTCAACCTCTTCGCGACCTTTTTTCGAAGAGAGATTTGACTCGGCATCTTCATCATCTTGCGAATCTTTCAGGAAATGATTCAGTTCATTCTTGTGCATCTTCAGTCTGAACTCCGCCTCTGATGCCGCGACCTTCCTGGGTGGTGCCTCCTTCTTTCTTTGCCGATATTCTACCTCTATCGCGGACGGGGCTTGCATCCAATCATCTCGCTTAAGGTCCTTGCTTGTTGCTGAGGCGAGCATGTCATCTAGGTCGTCATCGTTTGGTGGAGGCGCATAGCTTTCCTTCTCAGCCCATACGTCTTCGCTGCCCTCTTCCTCCTCGTCGGAGGACGTCCGCTTAATGTAGTTCTTACGCTTGCGAGATGCGGCATCTTCGTCTGACTCAGGGTCTTCCTCATAGTCCCGCCTTGAGCGTTTATGCTTGCGACGTGAGCTGTCATGGTCGTCCCGATCTCGTCTACTTGACGAAGAGAAGTGGTCATGGTGTCTGTGGCGATGCCTACTGCTACGATGCTACATCACGAGAGTTAGCAGTCAATTGAGGAGGTTGTTGAATCGTCCATCTGGGGCTCTCGAGAACTGAACTGGATTGATAGATACCTTTGAATCGGAATGTCGATGCTTACGCTCTCTGCTGCGACTCCGATCTCGTTTCCTGTTGCTGCTGCTGCTGCCGTGTGCAGCAGCGTTTGCCTGTTCAGCGGCAAGCTGACGCTCGAACTCCTCAAGGCCCATGATATGTTGAACCTGTTGTGTTTTGGCGCAGCAGGCAAAAGGCGCAGCATGAAGTCACCGCTCGCCAAATATTTCGATGCTCGCTGCGGTCTTGCGCTCCCAGTCCAGCTTTTGCGGCCGCAGCAGGGGTCAGTGGAAGCGAATCCACTTCCGGCGCCAGCGCCAAAGCCAACGCCAACGCCAGCGCGTCTCCCCCCGAACTTTCGTGACCTTGTCGTGATGGTTTAAGAGTGTCGCATCATCCACCTAATCCGTCTTCTTCGCTCTCAGATCGCTGCCAACCCCCGGGCGCATGCGGCGCTTTGATATAGCATGAGGGTGCCGCGTACGACGACGGCTACTTCAACATGCATCTGGTGAAGCCGCTGTGGCTCACCCACGGTGGTATGTCCGCTCTCACGCTAGGAATCGTAGATACACTGGAGACGATGTCGACGACGAAGACGAGCTAACGTATTTTATTTTGCGCAATAGGAGAACTACGCGACCACGAAGTGTACAGCTGCCACGTATCTCCCGATGGCACGCGACTCGTCACCGCAGCAGGAGGTGTGTTGCGACGTTGATATTGTTAAGGCCTATGCGGCAGCAGCTTGGGAACTGATCAAGTGCAGATGCACACGTACGCATATGGTCGACAGACGCTATTCTCAATTCGCACGATCCGAAATACACGAAACCAAAGCAGCTCGCTGCAATAAGCACTCATTCGGGCACAATACACACTGTTCGCTTCTCCGGAAACAACAAGTACCTCGCCTCCGGCGCCGACGACAAGATTGTCTGCATCTACGTGCTGGATCCTAATCCTCCTGCCCATGCGCATACTTTCGGTACGGCACCACACATGATCATTGTTTGTCGTGACGACACAAGAGTGCTGATACTGGGACTTGATCACTGCAGGCTCAAACGAACCTCCGCCCGTAGAAAATTGGCGTGTGTTCCGCCGTCTCATCGGTCACGATAATGACGTTCAAGACCTTGGTTGGTCTGCCGACTCTTCCATCCTCGTTACCGTCGGCCTCGACTCCAAGGTCGTCATCTGGTCGGGCCACTCATTCGAGAAGCTCAAAACTCTCTCACAGCATCAATCCCACGTTAAAGGCATCACCTTTGACCCAGCCAACAAATATTTCGCCACCGCTTCCGACGATCGCACTATAAAGATTTTCCGGTTCACGTCCCCACCCCCGAATGCGACCCAACACGATCAGGTGAACAACTTTGTGCTGGAGACGACAGTGTCGGCGCCGTTTGCGAATTCTCCACTCACGACGTATTTTCGGCGCTGCTCGTGGAGTCCCGACGGGAATCACATTGCAGCAGCGAATGCGGTCAATGGTCGAGTCAGTTCCGTAGCAATCATTGCGCGCGGCAATTGGGACAGCGATATCAATCTCATAGGACACGAGGGCCCCGTCGAAGTATGCGCATTCTCGCCTAGACTGTTCTATAGGGAGCCAATTACTGCGGGCCATCATGATGGGCAGGGTCACTCACTGCTGCCGTCGGTGACGGTTATTGCGTGCGCAGGGCAGGACAAGACGCTGAGTGTGTGGAACACATCATACGCAAGGCCGTTTGTAATCACACAAGAACTGTCCACGAAGCCCATTTCAGATCTTGCGTGGCATCCGGACGGGGAGACGCTATTTCTCTGTAGTCTGGATGGCCGCATCATGGCCGTTAAATTCGAGACTGGAGAACTGGGTTATCCGGCTCCGTTGTCGGAAAATGACAAGAGCTTGAATAGATACGGAGCGGGACGGAAGGCTGGTGTCGTAGAAGGTATCGATGCTCTGCTCTTAGAGGAGAAAAGTAAAGAAGGGGAGCAGAAAGCAGTACAGGGCCGAATGGGCGAATTAATGGGCGATGGGGCATTGGAGCCTACCTCTGCAACTCCCGCAGTCAATGGAAACTCCGAAGCAGCGAAGACAAACGGCGTATCAACAGCAGCTTCGACGAACACAAATGGAGCAAACGCGCAGACTAATGGCCAAGCTACTTCGCAAAACACGCCGCAACAACCACCGCAGGAGACCAAAATCACGCAACTCAAGCAGAGAGTTGAGATTGTAAATGGCAAAAAAAGACTAAAGCCTATACTGATCTCTTCGGCAGGCGGAGAGTCGTCTCTGCCCCAAACACAACTCATGGCTGGAAGCGCAGCACGTGGAAGTGCGCCTTCAGATGCCCCCCAAACGATCTTAGATCTGTCGAAACCGTACGACGGTTTACCAGAGGGTGGTCTGAAAGCTCTCCTCATAGGCAACAAACGCAAATATGCAGAGATTGAGGGAGAGGACGACAAAAGGACAGAGAAGCGTCTCCAGGCCATCGCACAGACTGGAGCGACGCCTATTGTTCTAAACGGAACGGATGGACTTATACCACCCCATCTAGGCCAGAAGCCTGAGGGGGGTGTTCCAGAAGCACTGAGGCCCGCAATTGTGAACCAAGCATTGACTGTGAGTCAGGTAAGGCTTGCTGTACCAGTCCTGCGGAGTGTCATTGTACGTTCTCTTGGAACGCCGGTAGAGAAGCAGGATGGGAAAGAAGAGAAAGTAGACGATGCGCTCATGCTTGAGGCGCGGAATGCGTCTGGCCCATCGAGGACCGGCCGACCTCAAGACCGAGACCCTACGAGAATAAACTGTACTCGACGTGGGCAATCGCTCTGGCAGGATTACATCCCTAAGCCCGTCTTGCTCCTAACCGGGAATTCGAATTTTTGGGCTGCAGCGTGCGAGGAAGGCAGTCTGTACGTATGGACGCCAGCAGGGAGGAGATTACTCAACGCGCTGGTTGTGGAAGCTCAACCCGTCATCATAGACTGCCGTGGTTGGTGGTTGATGTGTATAACGGCGGTGGGCACATGTCACATATGGAACATCCAGACACTTTCCTCGCCACACCCTCCCGTCTCACTCGCAACGGTGTTAGACGTTGCCGCGTACGCGCAAGGACCGCACGTGACAGGCGCTCCCGGAATTGTCTTCGCTCGACTCAACTCCCAAGGTAGGATTGTGATCGCGATGAGCAACGGCGATGGCTACACGTACTCTCCCAACATGTATGTGTGGCAACGGCTGAGTGAGGCGTGGTGGGCCGTCGGCAGTCAGTACTGGAACACAGCCGACACCAGCGTGACGAATTTGCAGGGCCAACAATCCAAGGGCCAGGACAAACCATTCGGCGACGACACAGTCAATCCAGAGAACCTGTCTGCTGGCATCATACCACTCCTCGAGCGAAACACAACAACACATGTTCTTCTCCGTGGCAGAGCATACTATCTTCAGCGTCTTATCAAAGCTCTGCTGGCCGCGGAAGGCTTTGAGGGCTTCGAGGCGAATGTCTCGCTTGGCCATTTGGAGAACCGCCTTGCGGCTGCGATGGCGCTCGGTGCTCGAGATGAGTTCAGGATCTATCTACTCATGTACGCGAAGCGACTGGGCGCGGAAGGCTTGAAGAACAAGGCGCAGGAGCTGCTGAGGATGCTGCTGGGGGATGTCTTTGGTGGCGAAAGCGGAGGGAAAAAGATTGATCCCGAAGCAGACGAAGAGGTGCCGAGAGGGTGGTATACGAAAGAGGAGGAGCTGGTTGGGTGGAAGAGGAAAGATCTGGTCAAGGAGGTTGTGCTGGTTCTTGGTATGCTCTCCCCCCTTTTCTTCTTCTTCTTCTTCTTCTTCTTCTTCTTCTTCTTCTTCTTCTTCTTCTCTCCCCTCTTTCTCGCCAAAAGTCATGATGGAGAAATAGCCATGGATTTCTGACCGCGTATCCAGGCAAAAATCGCGACCTCCACCGCCTGACGGTGCCCTACGCGCGACTCTTGGGGGTTATTACGGAGTTGGGCGCGGACGTGACGGCAACGAGCGATGCTATGGACATGTAAGACTTACTATTCAAGGAAAACTATAGGCCCTGGCGTTTTTGTTTTTTCGATAGCCTTCCAGCTGTACGGGGCGCGACGGGACGGCTTTTATTTTGAAGGCTATTTGGACTTGCGCATATACATCCCCCCCTTAAGCATCGTACCGAAATGGTATCAAGCAGTCAAGTCTTTGCCACGAGGCAGGAGAGCATCTTCTGGGTCCTTTTTAATTGCACATAGTCCTTGTCGAATTCCAAAGAGAGCTCGTCCCTCCCCGCTCCTTTACTACAAAGTAGTGCTGCCCATGACAAAGCGTTATTCCGTCCAATCCATACCGCCATTCCAATCTACCGGACCACGCCGCCGCGCCGCTCCCCCCCAAAAGGCGTTTTTCCTAGCCGGATCGGAATCTAGATTCAGGTTCTCGAAGCTCCCTTTTCCCCCTCCCGCCCTTCAAAAGTCCGGATGAGCTCGGCCGAGCGAAACTGTCGGAATCGCGCCCGAAGACACACAAGTGGGGCAAGGTTGGGTTGGTAAGTTTTCAGCCCACGTGATGGGAAAGAGTAGAGAAGGGAGGAAGAGGGAGGGGGGTATTGGGGCGGCTGGGTAAGGAAATTTCCTTTCGGGACCACCAATACGCGCGGTGTGTGCAGGTACGATGACAAGGGGGAAAAAAAAAGAAACCCCCACACGATCAAGGACGGACGATCGGTGGCGTTCGACAACAGGTTTGCGGGATCCGGACCATTCAAAAGGTGGGCTCTTTTTTTCTTTTTGGCGGACCCCCACGCTACTTACCCGGTCCAAGAACGACGACGACGAGGAGGGCCGGAAACTTTTCCCAAACGCCACCACTACTGCCGCTTTTTGCGGCGAAGCCTTTTCGTCATTATTTAAGACGGTGCTATTATTGCTAGAGGCGGACCCGCTCCTGTGGGGACGTTTCCAGCAGCGGGCGCAGAGTGCCAAACCGGCAAAAGCGGGGCCAAAGTACTGGACGGATGAGGGCCGCTGCCTTTGCGGTGGGCATGAATCGTTGTATCCAGGAGCTCTCGCATCCGAACAGGACTTCAATGAGAACAATCTCTTGTTTGGAGGGCTTTTGCAAGATTCCAGCAAAAGGTGTCCTCGATCGGCTAGGCGTCTCCTCCATAAACCGAGTTCAGTCTACAGCTTGCTGCCATTGAGGGGTGGGGCAAAAGAAGAATGGATCGGCCGTAGTCGATGTGTAACATTAAGGAAACTTTGAGCCATGGTTTCGCGGCAGCGGCATATCCCATGCGCAATTCATGCGTGGTTGGAAAAAATATGCCCTTTGTTGGGGACAGTCACGGGGCGGTGATGTCGGAGCGACGGTCCCTGGGCCTGCTATTCGTCGACATGAAAACTAGAAAAAATGGTTGACCGCAACTCCCATGTTGCCATTGGGCCATTCTGATTTGTTCCTAAAGCAACTGCCATATTTCAGTCTTGACCTTGTATCCAATCGGTTGCTCGTCCCATAGGCTGTCCCATATTCTCTCCTTCATGGCCCTGTTCCTACCCTCCCACGATTCTTTTTTTGTTGGCTGAGCAAGAGTCCGAAACTGACCCTGTGGCGCTTTTGTACGGGGAATAACATCCGAGCGCGCAGAGGGAATGGTTTGGGCCAGTTTTTGAGTCAGCCCTGAGAGCCTCAGCCTGATGACCAAGGCGAACATCGCTCTATGATGCACACCGTCGTTTCAAGCTAAGTGGCCTCATGTTACAAATAATACCACAAATCTCTTATGCACCGAGCACTGTTTACGCGGATGTTTCGAATGATAACGGCGTGAGACGTCCAGTGTTCCCTTAGAAGACCAGGACGCAACGAGCGCGAGACGACGGAGAGACCCTTTTCTTTTTATTCTCTTGGATTTCAAGAACGAGGATGTTCTCACCGAATACCGTGGGAGCATGTTACACAAGGTGGCATGTGCTTAGCAATAGTAACCATGGGCGTGTTGCATCCGCAAACAGGAAATAGCTTGGAACTAGAAGAGTACTCCCCTACATTGCGCAAGAATGACGAAAGACGTCTCTGCACCACAAAGAGAAAGTGAATCGAGGGGGCCAAGATGATCCGGTTCCCGACGCACTCGAATGCTGAACTGGATCACCTCCGCGCCGACGCTATTATTCAAGAAAGTGGGCTCGCTTGGCAGGCAAGGCAAAAGGACTCTAGCGAATGGCCCCAGCAGGCTGGACAGCGCCTGAGGTTCGTGTTGTTTCTTTACTGGCGCCAACCTCGCAATAACGCAACTTAGTGGGGGGGCCAGCTCAACAATGTGCAAGAACTTTTGAAGAAAAAAAAAAACCGTTAAAGAAAAAGAGAGAGATGTGCGTGTGCATGTAAGTGTGCGAGTGTGTGCGTGCGCACCACCCATGGTGGTGGCGGTGGTTGGACACAAAAAAAAAAAAAACGCGGAGAATCCCAGATGTAGGCGGACGCAGGTCGGATCGTACCCCATGGCGAGAAATGACGCACATGTGTGCGCATTCATGCAAGCGCAGCCTGGATCAACGAAGCTGAGCGTTCCCTGTCCTGTCGTCAAGGTGGAAGTGCAGCACGAACATGTACTTGTGACCTGTTACGTGGCCGTTCAAGAAGGCCGTAAAACCTCGGCCAAATGGAAAATCCGGCCTCGATTCGTGACGCACGAAAAGAAAAAAGAATAATAAAGAAACTCCTGGGGCAAAGGCATGCCTTGTGGCGAAGCTTCGGAAGGGTACTCCTCCGCTGGCAAGGTCGATAAGAGGCTCGTTTGAGGGTAGATATTTTTTCCCCTCTTCTGACGGAAATGTTAGAAGGCCTGTGTAACGTGAGCAGTTCGTGCAGGCATGAACGACGTTGGGGTTTTTTGTTTTGAACAAAAAGTAACGGCTGGTTGGTGTGGGGAATCCCTGCCCTCCCCTCGATCCCGTGAGACGACAGAAGAAGCAGCGTGACAAGCCTACAGGGACATAGATGAGCGGCTGCGCGAGGAGACCGGGAGGATCTGGCTGCGGGAGGCAGAGCAGTGACGATAAGACCAGCGACTGGTGGTTGAACTGGTACATGCAGAGGAGTTCAGCACCTGACCCCAAAAGACTGCCTCCCCCCCTACAAGATGATGGGGACTCTGATAGCTCCGAGAATGTCATTCCGGTTTTTGCTTGTGGGACAGGCTTTTCCATCAGGCCTCGAGACCTCATGTGCATTGACTAAAGCCCAATCGGTCCAAGACGGGCCAGTACGTCATGCAGGAGGGGAAAAAAAAAAAGAATGCGTCAGCATCAATTTCGACATCACTTGACGCATGTGCAGAAGTTGCCCAACCTCCTGGAAGACAAGTGCCGCTACGGTTCTGTTACTTTGAATCTTTGACGAGGTCGCCGCGCCAAGGTATGTTTGGGCGAGGTCGAAAGTCGATGCGGCCTGAGGCACAGGGCTGCAGCAGGTGTCCTGCCTGCGTCCAATTGGAATCGATTCCCCGGTGGACGGGTGTTTGCAGCACGGCATTGAAGAGTTCGGGGGGGTTACAAACTCAGGAATAGGCGAGGGGCGGTGTGCCTAGAGGGACTCGTATGCAGGTTGGGTGGATAAGGCGTCAGAGGTTAAGGATGGATGTGACCTGTGTGTGTTGGGTTCGTGCGTGATGACGACGTCGGTACTTTTGGTTTTTGCGAATAGAGAGGTGCATGAGAAAGCGGGCACCGCCATGCTGCAAAAGTTGACAGTGGGTGCTTTGTTGGTTTCAACTATGGTACAGAAAGCAAGTCAGGTGCACCGGTACGCCGCAACGCGGTTCTTGACTCGCAAGGCTGCCGGCGCGGCTGTGCACCTCCTTTTCAAAATCGTTCATCCGGAGATGTTGAGCACATCGTGCGCGCAGTCCTTGCATAGACCCGACTAAAACGGCGTGCAAAATTGCCACATGTCTTGCGCGACGTTGCGCAACCCTGGACGGCGTGAAAGATATCGGCCTTGGCTTATCGCTCTCACTAACTCACACAGGCACGCACACGCTTACTTACTCGCTCACTCAAGCGGGAGTGAGCTCGGATTGTTGAGGGGGCGGAGGTGTCAGTCCCTCGGGGGCCTGTCGGTAAAGCACAATCTCGGACTGTTTGAAGTATCGGCGGGCATCTTCCGCGCGTGGGATGGTTAGCAAAATGTCGCTCCCCACACCAAGCTTGATAAGGCGCTGGAAAGCAGTGACGGGACCCAGGGATGCCGCCAGGCATCCAGATCTGGACCGTTGGGAAAGAACTCACCTTCGTCTATCAGAACCAGGCTCAGGTAATAGCGGGTTGAGAAGCGTTTATTGACTTCTCGAAATGTTGGCGTGAGGTCGAAGCCGCCCAGGAACAGCCGAATCGGGATAGTCTCGCCTAGGTTCGACGTTAACTCATCGGACCACACCGCAAGTCTGATAATGACCGAGTAATCCTACCTCGCGAGGGCGAACCGTCCATGATCTATCGAAATTTTTCCTTCGTTAGCCAATGGAGCGCATTTGCGCGGATTTAAAAACGAAACAAGGCGGGCACTTTACCTCGAAGCGAACCAGCGTCTCACTCTCGTTGTACTGGTTTGGTGGCGCCCCCGTCGTCTCTCGACGGATGATGGACAGCTCCATGTGCTTGATCTTTAGGCGCACGAGTAGGAAGTAGATCCTGCCGACGATGACGTCCTTGAGATGGTATTTGGACTTTGAGTACTCGAACTCGATGTGCAGGCAGTCCTCGATGCCGACGTCCATCTTGATGGAGGCGTTTGTCTCCGGCGGTATGCGATAGCTGTAGACCCAGATGTCCTTCTCTCTGACCACGTCGGCCATGCGGCGCGACACCGTCACACGGATGAAGTACCGCAGACGCACGTTGATGCCGTTATACGACTCGTACTGCTTTTCCACGTTCTTGAAGTTGAAGGGGAAGGTCTGCGGATGCTGGAGCTCGCCGGGAGCAGCCAGCTCCTGGCCCAGCGACAGGAACTCATAATGGTTGCCGCGGTCGAAGAACATCTCTGGGCGTTCCAACAGTCAACATATGCACAGCGCACAAAACGTGGTCCAGGCATCCGCCCGACTAGGTGTCGCATACCGATGGTGCCAATGAACTGCACTTTGATGCCTGTGTGTTCTAAACGCTTGCCATCCTTCGGCCGGACCGTGACTGCGCCCTTGACGGACTCGCCATCCATGTATAGGGGAACCTTCTCTCTGCGGTTCTTGTCCTGCCGAACATCCACCATGGCCCTGTCATCGCCATCTTCCAGCACAATGTCGATGTCGACCGGCGTCGAAAAGAAGTACGACATTGCACAAGACTAAGGGAGGGTGAAACAAGGGCGAAAGGATCGAATCGGGACTCGCAATGACCGTAAGCTCGTGTGCTGTGTCTGCGCGGATGCTTCGAACTGCTGGGCCCAAGCCGTTTGGAGGGCGCACGCACGCATCGCCTCATGCACAGTGACGGGGAGCGCTTGATGCCAAGCGGGACTGACACGAGCTGCCTTGCAGCCGTGCAGCCTCAGGCCGCTCAGGTCCGGGGACGGGCCAGCCCCATGCGCGTGCAGTCGAGCGAGCGTCAAATGAGCAAACGTGGATTGAGAATGGTCGGCTGTGAGGGTGCGTATGTGCGTCCGTATGTAGGGAATGAATGCGTGCGTGCGTGTATGTGTGCGGGCGAGTGTGTTTGTGCTGGCAGGATGGTGACATGCAGCCCGCGTACTGTGCCAGCGGCTGCTTCGGTGGTCCAGTCGCGTCCCGAAGCTGCTGAAGTCCCATACTTCGTACAGAGGAGAGAAACACACGCACACGCTTCTGCTCTCGTGTCTCCGCGGCTTCTGCGAGACCAGATGTGTCCCGTCCCCCCTCTCCCTATGTTTCGCGCGTCTATCGTCCTCGCCTTGGGTGTACGCGCGCTGCGTCTTCACGGTCTTAGCGTTTGCGTGCTCCAGCCTTTTTGCCTTGCTCACTGCTTCAGTTCCCCCTTCGTCTCACGGGCACACCACCCGTGTCCGCCTCTGCCCACGCTGCCCACTTCTGCCGTCGCCGATGGCTTCACGAGGAAATTCCCGCAAAAGTCGCCATTATCCGAGAGATCGTCGCAGGAAAGCAGTCACGGGCTCGCCAGCACGTTTGCTGGTATCCTTGCTCGATGATGCCGGCTTACTACAAGGCACGAGTGCATACGACGTCCTGCAATGCCGCACAATCCCCACTCAGACGGTCTGCCACTCGTAACAGGCAGAAGTGCCGCATCAAGCAACGCATTTGCTGTAACTTAACATGCGAAGGTCCTGCGTAGGCATCTGGCTGCTAGCCCCCGCTGGTCCTCTCCAGAATGGCTCAGCAAAGATCCTCCCCTCCCCTCCCACCCCCTGGACACCATTTCGCATTGCGCACTCCAGCATCGATCAATGGCCAGGCCCCGCCGTGCACTGTTGGTGATGCCGACGCACCTGACGAGCCTTTCCGTCACCAAGGAAAACTTTGTTGCCTTGTTTGCTTTCGACTACGGAAAGCGGAGACCCAATTGCACGAGGGCGATTGCCGCGATCCTGTGCCACCATGCCGTTCTGGTTATCAATCTCGTCCCAGCACCAACGATTCGTTTGGATGAATTCAGGGTGAGCTCCGCTACGCCTTGCCCATCCTGGCTGACGTTCATTGTTTAGAAAGAAAAAAAGAAAAAAAAAAAATAGAAACACGCTGAAGCGTTCGTTGCTTTCGAAAGCGGCCCCACGAGGCTCATTTGGATGGAGCCCGCGGACGAATCCTGCTTGTGAAAACACGGTCAGCTGGCCTCGTGCCTCGCACGTACTGTCGGCCCTTTTTCTTTCTTTCATTCTTTCTTGATTCCCCTTTTTGGTCGGAAACAGTACAGGCGAGAGCGAGGGGAGGGGCCCTCAAATCACACGAGCCCGCCGGATCGGATTTTCTCTGCATCACCAAACGTTTTCCCCCTTAGGCATATGCAGCGCTGTTGGGCCCAAAGGCTCTGCCAGTTGCGGGGAAAAATCAAAGTCGCAGGGCCAGCAAGTCAAGCCACGATTGCAGCTGACACTCGGCAGTGCAGGGGGCATGGGCTGCGAGAAAGACCGGTGCTGCTCTGGCGGTTCAGACGAAGGACATGCATCTGGGAAGAAGAAGAAACACAGTCGTTCTCCGGACGGTTGTCACTTGTCAGAGCGAACTAACCCCCACGTTGCGCCAAAGTGATCCCCGGCGCATCCCATGCACGACCGCATGCGAGTGTTTCCCGCTAGGCCTGATAAATTTTACGCTTTCTTGATCCGCCCGTCGAGGCGTGACAACTCCCGATTGACGGGCCCCTTCTCGACCATAACCCTGCTGTGACATCAGTTGTGCCTGACCACCCGATTTTGGTATGCTAATTGTCTTCTTTTTCCGCCCTCTGCCGTGGCTCCGTTGCTGCGCTCGCGTGGGCACGTATGGAGTTTCCGTCAGTGCGCCCCGTGTGGCCCAGGGCGTCTTTAAAGATGGGCTGTGTTACCCATCACGTAGCCTCTTGTGGATCGGATTTTTCTTTTGATTTCTCTCCGCCTCAGGATAAAGAAGAGGCTTACGTCGACCCCATAGACCCCGTATAATCGTCCTTCATCTTCGTCTTGACTTAAAAGCCTCACGCCTCTTTCCAATCCTGCCCCGCTGTCTTCCTTTGCTCCTTTCAGCCTTTGCCACCCACTTAAGGACAAGGCTTTCTGTCGTTGTTACCTCTGACTCTTGTCGTTTGTCCAACAATCTTCAAACGACCTGCGATTGAACTGCCGCTTGTCAAACTGTTCATTGCTCATCAATCACTTGAGGCATGTTGAGTTACGATAAAGCACCGACTGCCTATCATGGCACGGTGCTACCGTACAACAACTCTAATTCCAACTCTGCATCATCCTCATCATCCTCACCAACGACCCCGACGCAGAGACTAGCACGCAAAATGTCCCAACGTGACCGCCATGTCTTTGTTGTGTATGGGCCTGCCGGGTGTGGCAAGACCACTATAGCCCAGTACATATCAAAGGCGTTCAACTTCACGTACATTGAGGGCGACAATGTAAGTCTTTGAATCTTCTCTCTCTCTCTCTCTCTTTGTCTTGTGCCCTGCTATACTACACTGCGTGCACGGAGGCTTACTTTGCGGCTTCACTTCCAGTATCATCCACAGTCGAACGTTGAGAAGATGAGCCGGAACATTCCCCTCCAGGATGCGGACCGATGGGACTGGCTCATCAACCTACGTGAGGCGGCCGTCGCTGCGCTCGAGCAGGATGTGGACGGCGTTGTCTTGACCTGCAGTGCTCTGAAGAAGAAGTATAGGGATGTGATCCGCATCGCCAGCATCAACGAGCACAGCGTTCACGTCCACTTCCTGTGCCTCCAGGCGGACCGAGCCACGCTGATCAAGCGCGTCACGGCACGGAAGGATCATTTCATGGGCCAAAAGATGGTCGATTCGCAACTGCGTGACCTCGAGCCCATAGGGAGCCGCGAGACAGACGTCGTCCCGATCGACGTACGTGGTACCCAGGCGGAGAACGAAAAATTGGCGGAGGCTGCTGTCGTCTCCATACTGTCATGACGCCTTATTTCTTCTTCCTTCCCCTTGTCTTGGCCTCCGTTCCGCGTCTTGTTTGACTTTGAAAAGAGAATACAAAGGATCAGCGAAGAACGCGAGGTCTGGAACCTTGCTTTGCTTTCGGGCTTGGTTTCATCACCCTTATGCGCCCCTCCCATTCTTGATGTCAACACGACCCTTCTGCAACATGATTTTTTTCTGGTTTCTCCGCATCAGCAACTCTTATTTGCGAGCATCAGCGAACAGGCGCAACATCTTCTAAACACTCCTGGGCATTGGTACAAAGGAATATTGGGAAAATCTTTGGGATGGGGAGCCGGGGGAGTTTTTCCTTTTTTTTGTTTCTGATTTGTCGGATATGCCCTCTCTTGTCGCTTAATGTTCATTTTCCTCTTTTTTTTGCTGATTGTCTGCGGACCCATCGCAAACGTTTTGCAAGGGCCTCCAAAAATATCCCTGGCTATCGCAGGCCAAATGTTTTGTATCTTGTGCTTTTCAAATCGAATGTTCTCGTCCGTCTTCTCTACCTGCACGGTGTGCTTGCGTTTGTTTCTCTCCCAAGATTATCGCGTGCCATCAAACCGAAATGATCGTCGTGGGCCATTTGCGATCGTCTGCACGCCCGCGCAAGATGCAGCGAACCAATTTCGGCATGGGCAATTCGCGGAGTGGGAAAAGCCTTTTGGGCTTTGTGGACTATGCCAATCAAAATTGCCGGGAGGCGGATCTGGCAGCTGAACCCTCACACGCACAGGGGCCCGGTCCGGGGCTCGACGACTCTAGCGGTCTGGATGCTGTGAGAAGGGGGGTTTCTATGATAAATCATCAGCCAAAATGTTAGCTAATGGGCAAATGGAAAAGCACTGACTGTCACACGAGCAATTGCTGAATACATCAGATGAGTTAGTACTGTGGATGGGTGTGGACGCCTGGTCGCCAAGCGCGCGGGGAAAGGGGGAAGAGGACTTTTTTTTCTTCGTCTAGATTTTTTGAATCCCCAGTTTTGACAGCCTGTGGGAAGGCGTCTATTATCATGAGATCGCCAGCCACGAACTCGTCCTTGCGCAGCACCAGGCCTTGAACAGCGGGTTCGTACCTGCGCCTAGTAGTTTGACCCGCATGCCCGGTTCTTTGGTAGCTAGTCCAACCCAGCCAGAGTGACCAGCCCAGTTACAGAAGAAGGGGAAAACTTGTCCTTGGTGGTGGTTGGACTGCAAACTGAATGCCTGGGGCCACAAGGCCTCACTAACGCATGTGGCAGAGTGGTTGCACACGACGTTTTTTGTTTGTGGGGTGAACCCCCAAGGCTGCCCGGATGGTTCTGATTGCGTCTATGGGTACTATTTGGCGCCTTTTGGTCCTTCTCGACGCCTTATGGTCCTTTTCGGTGCCCTTTTGTTCGTTTGTTGCGCTTGGGCGATGGGTCATTGTCTGGCGGACCTGGTGGCTTATGTCAGAACTCTCTGCTCGCTCTGGTGCGGCTATCATCGGATAACTAACCGAACCTGACGTTCGAGCATAAGCAAAGCAGACAGCGTTTACATGTAAAGAAGATGTCCTCTCATACCTCAGACACCCATTTCTACGAGTCTTCATAGTCATGTCATCCCCGTGCCTGTCGAGGCGAGCGTTCGGAGCCATAAAAGGCGCGGTAGAACGACCTCAATTGCTCGTCAAGTCACGAAGATCTCGAGTCTCATGCCAGCATCTCCCACCGCGGAGCTTTCATGCGTCGGTATTGCGGGCGGTGGTGAAGCCATATTATCTGGCTGATATCGGGGAGGGCATTACAGAATGCCAGATCATACAATGGTTCGTGCAGCCGGGTGCCAAAGTCGCTCAGTTCGACAAGATCTGCGAGGTGCAGTCGGACAAGGCGGCCGTGGAGATCACTTCTCGCTTCGATGGCGTGATCAAAAAGCTGTACTACGAAGCAGATGATATGGCAAAAGTCGGAAGCCCGCTAGTGGACATAGATATCCAGGGCGAGATCGACGAGGAGGGTGCGAAGTTGACCGAGGCCGTGGATGAGGCGCCTCGAATAAACGAAGCTCAAGCCTCGAACGAGCTAGGAAGTGAATCGACTACATCAGAAGCTTCAGCAGCCAGTCGCACCAATGGTCATGCGAAAGAAACGAGTTCCAGTGTGAAACCTACCGGCAAACACGCGACGCTGGCAACGCCCGCCGTTCGCCACCTAACTAAGCAGCTAAACATCGATATTACAGATGTGACAGGAACAGGCAAAGATGGCCGCGTGCTCAAGGAGGACGTTCAAAGATACGCTGCGGCGAGAGATTCGCAAAGTTCACAGCCTGCGTTGCCAGCCTCGATGCCGACGACTGCGCTTGGTGAAGACAAGATAATAAAGCTCTCGGGCATCCAAAGGAAGATGTATGAGACCATGACCCAGTCTCTCAAGATCCCCCACCTCCTGTACTCGGACAGCGTAGACTTCACCGCGCTTACCCGGCTAAGGCGATCTCTGAACGCTGACGCAAAAGCCGCGGGAGAGCCAAAACTTTCGGCGCTGCCCTTCATCATCAAAGCCGCTTCGCTGGCGTTGACGCAATTCCCATCGATCAACGCACATCTGGACACCACCGACGACGCGTCACAGCCGAAGTTCATCCACAAAGCTTCGCACAACATCGGCTTCGCAGTCGACACACCGCAGGGCCTCATCGTCCCCGTGATCAAGAACGTGCAGGCCCATTCCATCACCTCGCTCGCGGCAGAGATTGCTCGGCTGGGGGAAGCTGCACGGAACAACAAGCTCTCAGCAGCCGATCTCAAGGACGCCACCTTTACCGTCAGCAACATAGGATCCGTCGGTGGGACCACCGTCGCGCCTGTTATCGTAAGTCCTCAGGTCGCCATCGTGGGCATCGGAAAGACTCGCACCGTCCCTGCATTTGCAGAAGACGGAAGCCTCGTGAAGAAGGAAGAGACCGTATTCAGCTGGAGTGCTGATCACAGGGTCGTCGATGGCGCCACCGTGGCTCGTTGTGCAGAGACTGTGAAGAGGTATTTGGAGAATGTCGAGAAAATGCTGGTTCGGCTGAGGTGAACAGCAAGACGAGACCGAGCAAGGGGCTGGGTGATAGAATCTTCTCCGCGATCCTTAGACGATCTGATACAGGCACATAATGCATTTCGCACATGCCGGTTCCTGTCGTCGTGAAAAGTTCGACGTCCTTTTTTGAATCGATTATTCATTTCGTTCAGTCATTTTCCTTTTTCTGGCCTCTCACAGTGTGCTCTCACAAGCTAATCACTTTTGCAAGTCCGCGGATGTCCTTGCAACCCCCTTCAAAAATAGCCTAAGCCGCTGCAATTAACAGCGACTCCGTAAGCGCGACTTGCCACTACAACGAGAGCTGGTCTGATCCTCGTGGCAGCCCCAGTAGAGAAGACCTTTCCAAGCTTTCAAGCGTACAATCATCGATTCCTGTCTCTTGCCTGTACGGACCAGCTTTCATTTCCACCCGCCCATCCATTTTGTTCTCGGCTGGCCGTCTGACCGTGGAATATGACTTCCTCGATAAGCGCCAAACTGATCTGGCCAAACATTGCCGGGGCTTTGAATTCCACCACGTCGGTCTGCCCCATCTTCACACTGCAGTGTGCTGCTCTCTCCCACTCACCACTTTGGTTGCGGACTCTTCCGTTTCATTTGAACATTCACCCGTCCAAAGCCCTGCTCAAGGAGGATTTGCATCCAAGAACCTTAACATCATCCGCAAAGGGCTTTGCTGTAATCTGGATTTCTATGTGTGCTGAATCATAACGTGAGGTCTCTTTTTGGAGGAGTGTTTCTGCACTTGCTAGAGCTTTGCCTTAGACACTGGTATCTAGTTTTATCTCAAGGAAGTATCCGGCTGAGTCGACGTTGGCAATGCTTCCCACCCTCAGCTTTATGCCACAAATTTCTTATTCATCTGCATTTGCTTTTGGCAGTTAATCCGATCACAATCCTGGTTTGTCTCGAAGTCATGAAAAAATACGGAACGACGTGTAAGAGATGCAGCATATTCATTACTCTCTTCCTTATCACGTCTAGCCAATTTGACGGCTGGAAACAATGGCAGGAGAAAGTATTGCCGAGACTGAAACAGAGAACAAATAAAAAGCATGTGAAATCTATAATTCAAGTTCCTTGAACAGAAAATGCACTATCATTTCAGGCATACTTGAAGCTAGAGCTTAGAAGGCGCTTGAGGAATTGGCACTTTGGATAGTGGAAAATTTGTCAACGGAAGACTTGCCTGCGTACCACTCTCGTCCCTGTGGCGCTTCTTGCCATTGTACAAGGTCAGATGAAGTGTCTGCCTCCGCTGAACTTGCTGGCTTCGTAAATCTCCAGTCTGTCCGTGATCGCATGTGTGCCACTGCAGTTCACTCTTGTATGGACTATTTCCGTCCTACACACTATTGCACATCTGTACACAGGGCACCCTATGCGTTGCTACTTCTTGCATGTATTGCACAAAAATGCAGGAAGCTGCCCACGACGACATGTTCGTGCCCACTCGAGAGTCGACGGGCATCCGTGCGTGATTGATGGACCTTAACCACCCTTTATAGCCGGAGTCGGTCGAGGTTATCTAAGTCTTCTTCAACTCTTCTCGCCTGCGACCTTCCTAGGCTCGCTTCTCTCCAACTACTTGTTTAATCCTTAGTGCGATGGTGTAGTGAAGGTTTTCACGAGGAGGCGCTTGTTGCCGCGGCTCCACCGCCTTGCTTCTGACTTTCCATGATTTTCTGTCGCAGCACTCCTTCAACAGCTCTGGCTGTTTCTGCCTTATTCGCCAATATCTTATCCAACTCGCTCAAGTTTGTCTGCAGCTCCTTGATCTTGCCCTCGTAGAACACTTTCGCCTCGTCCACCTTCTTTTCAACAAAAAAACCTGTCCCCACGTCCACAATGACCGTCTCTGTCCCCTTCAGTTTCCCAGGTACGTATAGGCTACTTGTAAGTGGTACGAGGATGTTGCGTGAGGTATTCTTGGACTCGAGACCTTTGGCGAGTGACGTCAGACAGTCGCGGAATTTGGACTGTGCAGCGCGGAGGGATTGGAATGATGAGCTTAGCGTCTGAAGCTCCTCATCGATCTGTTTTTTCAGGTTGGATAGATCTTGGAGCGGGAGATCATTGAGTTTGACTGGGGAGCCTTTATTTTAGCACCATGTTTGTGTGTGTCCGCCGACCTCTTCGCACCTGTTGAGCCGCCACCAGTGGATGCCATTTTTCTATCTACACTTCCACTTTGTTTACAAGCAACTGTGCACTCATAGAAAAGAGAAAGAAGCCGAATATGTTGGTAGCTGAGGCGCGGTTGAGTCCTTCAAATATCTATTCGATCCGAGCACGTACGAAATGGAGATGTTCGAAGCTTGCGTAGGATAATTTTCCACCTCATGATCCATTTAAATCACGTGAGATGCGCTTGGACCACGGCAGCACCTTCGTTGTTGGACATAATACATGGACATAATATACATCGCAATCGCTCTGACATGCTTCGATGCTTCAATACGTCCTACTATATATGAATGAGCGTGATCTTAAAAAACTAGATTATCGAAGAATCTTCGTCTTGAGCAATGTTCACGTCCCTAATATTACCCACCAACTTGTGCCTTGGTTCAGCGACTATAGACGAGAGTGTGATGTTCGATTTACAGAATTCATGATAAATGGAGCTTGAACTACTGTGAGATCATTGAATCCAGATACTTTCGCCCAGGCTTGCCAAAGTACTTGTATCAAGCACTCTATGTCGCGGAAAGAAATATCATTAGCAGGATCTGTACATTGCGACGGTCATTCACAAGCCGAAGCCGGACTGAACTGAGAAGATGTGCATGTGAATGCCACTTGACTATATTCATCATCTATATGAAAGGCTAGAAATCATGCAGGATAACCAATCTCTGCTATGACTTTGTGTTTTGTCTTGGAGCTTCGACAAACCTGACTCATCGAAGTCCGATCAAGGAACCTGCCTCGGGCGTCCAGGGTCTATAGCAACACTCTCATCCTCGTTTACCCCGCGATTCCAGCACACACCCCTTGACCGAAGTGAGCATGGTCTTGCCCTAGTTTTTCGGAGGCATCCGTCTCTAGCTTTGTGGAGGCGAAGGAAAGAGATGGCGTGGATACAAACACACCATTTGCATGCTCTAATTTCCCAACGTCAAGGTCGCTGTCAGGCCTCAGCCACGGCTAGGGGAATTTGCCTTGCAAGTTGGCTAAGTTCTCTTCTTTTCTTTCGGTACTGACACTTGGAACTTTGGCAATTCCATAATCCCTGGCTCACATCATGACAGGATGGGTCTTAGGCCGTGAATATATGAAGTAAACGATCAATAGCTGGAGGCATGATTTCTCCGACCATGCGATTTGATCCCGAAGGAAATTTCAGAATTAGTTTTCATGAAGATTTCTTTTGAAAATGACCGCCAAGGACATGCAACGTTACCCTCCAAGTGAGATCGACATCCTCATAGTAGGTGGCGGGCTTGGTGGCATGACCGCAGCAATAGAATGCTACCGAAAAGGCCACAATGTTCGGATTATCGAGAAGAGACCAGACTTTAACACGTTTGGTTCGTTCTGTGGGCATAGGAAAGATCCTCATCTGATTGTGTATAGGTGACCTTATCGGTATTACTCGTAGTGCACAGCGATCAATGCTAAAGTGGCCTGGCTTCTTGGGAAGGTTGATGAAGAATGCTCTGCCTCCGACTCTAGAGTTCTACAAGTATGATGGCACAATGATTGTTAAGCTTGGCGACAGAGACGTCGGGAGGGAAGGCATAATTAGCGCACCCCTATGGAGAAATACACTACACTCAGAGCTTTATCAGTACGCAATAGAGCTTGGAATTCCGATTGAGTTTAATGTGAATGCAACGGAGTTTTATGAGTCAAGCAGTAAAGGATTCGTACGCGCAAAAGACGGAAGAATTTATGAGGCCGATCTTGTCATCGCAGCAGATGGACTGTCTTCACGTTCGGAAAAGTTAATCGCTAAGGAGTACGAGGCGCCTACAAGCAGCGAGTATGCTATTTACCGCACAAGCTTTCCACTAGGTAAGGATGTCGTGGAATAAGGTATGCGTTCGTTAACTTGCTTCAGATCATGCCCTGAAGAATCCGGATGTCGCAGCTTTCTGGGGTTCGGAGGATTTTCAAGGAGTCCGAATTTTCCTTGCTGATGACTTGCACATAGTGACGGCAAAAAGCACTAAGACCAATAGAATTACTTGGATGATGACGCACAAAGACGTGAACAAATCGGCGTCTGAAGCGTGGTCCGCTGATTGCCCGGCGTCAGATGCTTTGGCCTTCGTACCGGAATCTGCGGGTTGGCCAGGGTACATTCGGGGACTCATTAAACAGACACCAAATAACAGATGCGTTAATTGGAGCCTGATGTGGCGAAGCCCGAGAGAAGACTGGGTATCTCCTAAGGGACGCGTTGTGCAAGTTGGCGACGCTTGCCACCCGTTCATACCGACCTCAGGTAGTGGAGCTGTCATGGCTATGGAGGATGGGTATTCACTCGCGGCTTGCTTGCAGATAGCAGGTAAAGATAAAATACCCCTTGCGGTCAAGGTCCACAACAAGCTCAGGTAGGCGCAATTAGCACGCGTTCGCCCAGCTGAGCTATTCTAACTTTTTTTTTTTGCTAGGTTTGAAAGGGTCTCGTTCGCACAGAAGATGGGGTTTGACACGAGAGAATTTTATCATCACCCAAATTGGGATAATATGATGAAGCACCCCGAAGCGTTGGGCGTAGTTAGGCCGTGGATCCTTGAACATGATGCAGAGAAATACGCCATTGACAATTTTGCAGCCTGCGCAAAGCACATTATCGAAGGTGCGCCGTTTGAGAACAACAACGGGCCGCCGGGAGAAAAGTACGTACCTTGGAAAATATCAGAACTGTTAGAAACAGCAGAGAGGAATCGACAGAAACAGTTCACGAAGCTGTGAGGTCTGTTTTGGCGGCAATGTCGACCTAAACCAAATCGTGGACGAATGGCCATATCAAAGCACTAGACTTTATGCAGTGCAGCGTCCGAAATGAATTACAATCACGTGCATAGACTCTTTGTGCAGCACATTCATGGCCAATAGATATAGCATTCATCCCGATGGTGCTATTTTGGCGGAGTATTATCTTGTGTGATGGGACAGCAAGTTCACAATGAGCACCATTAACAGCCTTGAAATCGTGAACTTCTGTAATGAGAGTCACTCATGTTATCATTCCAGCTTTGACTAGGAGAGCCCGCGATGTGCCCAGGTTCTTTCGAGATCCGTCTTCAGTCGCGAAATTACGTTTACCTTGCTTGCCTCCCGCCTCTTTTCCATCGCCGCACGAATGAGGCGCATGTCATCGACGGAAGTGACGAAGAATCCGGCTGTATAGAGTGGCCAGTTGGCAACAAACGCTCGATGCCATCGTTTATCGGCTTCACGGCGCCTGACAATATCAAGAAGTGACTTCAGCTGCCACTTGTTGGCTGAATCCGACTGTGAAGATGCAGCCGTGCTCTTGCGAGCTAATTCTTCGACAAGCAAGGAGGCAACCAAAACGTACATGCGCATTCCATCATCGCAAATTGTCTGTTTGTCTGTTCCGTCAGGCTCAGTCGACGCGATAATCTCTTCCCATTCAGTCACATCCTTCTTCATGCGTGCGAGCGTCGTATCATTGTTCAAATCCGGATGATCATACATCTGCCTCAATCTTATGTTGAGTCTGAAAAGGGAGATCGGAACACCTAAAACTGGACTATTCCAACTTGTGGAGGATCCGGGGAACATGGTGGATCTGGATAGTAGATTTTCACAATCAAGCCAGAACATATCGTCAAAATCGAACCGCGGGAGAGTTGAATGCTTAGACCAGTAGGAGGTCGTGACGAGAAATATTTGATAGAGCACGCTTTCAACAGCTAGCCGATCGAACGTACCTCTGATCACAGTGTCTTGCCTCCTCAGGAACTGTAGTTTGATGATTTTTATGGCAGCGTTTAGGTGACAAGGAATGTCCTCGTAGGTGCCAAGCCCTATACACTGACATGACCTCGTCAGTTCGGCGTACGTTCAGATCTTGTAGCCTAGAAGTACATACGCCATGGAGGTACAAGAAGATGACGACCATCAGCACGGTATCGTAGCCTTGTGATTTGCCTGCTGCTGTAATTGACCGCGCAAGATTTTCAAGTGATATGGAATAATAACGTATTGCAAGCTGTTGCATGCCCGAAGAATCATCCATCGCAGAGATATGAGATGCTGCATTCGCCAGCACTGCAAAATAGAGTGCTTTGCAATCCTTTGCCATCTTCTGTATCTTTTCGATCCAGTCGTTATAGAAAACGGGACTGCTCTCTAAGTTAAGCAACAGGGCATAATACTTTTCTTCAAAGTGATTCCAGACATAGGGCTCCAGATCCATGCGCAGCTTTGCCTGTGATAGGGATTCAGAATGAAGACCGACACCTGCGCCGGCAATTTTGGAGTATGCACTCCACAAGACTTCAACTGCACCGATGTTTGACAAGGGCGAGCCATTCGACGGCGACGCCGCACGAAAGCGAACTCGGTGGCGACGATCTCGTAAAGCGTTACGGGAAGGCCATTGGCATTCACGACTGGAAGCAGAGCATCTCCAACACGAGGGGTGCTGTTCGTCGCATTTTTTCCGCTGGGATCTGCCTGAGACGACCAGTCAGCGTCTACAGCGTCGACGATCCGAAAGATATCTCTACAAGCCAAGCAACCTGTCTTAGTCCTCAATTTCGGCGTTGATTTTATTATGCTAGTAGTCATTTTGACGTTCTGTGCTCTACTACTGTAAGACTCGTTGATTCAAGCCCTGCCCCTCCTTTCGGTTTAGGTACAAGGCTGCACACCACAGGACGGCGCTGGGTCAAATGTAAACCGCAGTCTTAAAGCGTTGAGACACAGTTCGGGCAATTTCTAATGTTCAATAGCGGAGAGAACTCTCTAGGTCTGTATAAGTGATGAAAGGCATACAGAATAAAAGGCGAGTCAAGGTGTTGGTCGTTCTATCGCCCCAATACTTAGACAACAGCGCATCCTGCAAAGTGGGGATCAGCAAGCAGATCAATAAACATTATTTGACGACGTGCAAATCGGGGTACAGGCGGAGCGTGTTCCTCGGATCAGGTGTATTCTACACAAGGCTTTAGGTTGTCGCCTTTCAACTTCTGCTCGACTGATATGACGGGATAAGTTCCCACCAACTAGTCTGACGACGCCATTCACTGCTATTCAGAGCTCCCGGCGATGTTGAAATTTTCATAGGTTCAGACCTGCGGCCCGTGAAAATATTCTTTCATGCTTGTCTCCAGAATCTCGATTCACAACTTTTGCCTAACTTTCCTCCATGAGAAAACCGTTGATCACGTGGCAGTATTCATCTTTATCAGCTATTGAGGGAGAACAGAAAATGAACACCATATAAATTCGCCAGATTGCATCCCGGACCGACATTGTTTCGGGAATTTTCAGTGCTTTCTGAGGGCTATTGATTCTAAAATCATTGGAGCTCTAGAATCGGTAATCCGAAGGCAAAGTCATGGGACCGGCCTGGCAGGCATGAGCTTCGTTATCTCAGCAGGCTCAGACCCTCAGAGGGCGTTTCGTGCCTTACCCTATGGGGTAAGGCTTTTCGCACTAAACTCCTTTAAACTCCTGCACCAATTAGATGCCGTTATTTCGAAAACCCTCTGAGGGTCTGAGTGCAAATGGTCGCAGTTTGTTAGTGGAT